TAACAAAAGTCAAAAGCTCTCCTGTCTTTCTGAAGGGGCTGCTTCGGTTGCTTGTTTCTTCCTCCCTACCATCAGCAGTGCCTCACCTCTCCAAAAAGTGATGCCAGTTAGTTTCAAGGCCCAATGCAAAGTGCTGCTTTTGACCTATAAATGGTCCAGGAGTGGTACCTCAGGTTACAGACGCTTCAGGTTACAGATGCTTCAAGTTACAGACTCCGTTATCCCAGAAATATTACCTCGGGTTAAGAACTTTACCTCAGGATGAGAACAGAAATTGTGCTCTGGCGGTGTGGCGGCAGCGGGAGTCCCCATTAGCTAAAGTGGTACCTCAGGTTAAGAACAGTTTCACATTAAGAACGGACCTCCAGAATGAATTAAGTTCTTAACCTGAGGTACCACTGTACCTCCAGGACTGCCTCTCTCCATAGGAACCTACCTGGACCCTGAGATCATCACCTTAGGCTCTTCTTCTGTCTTGGGCCCGGTCTTATTCAACATCTTTATCAACGACTTGGATGATGGACTCAAGGGCATCCTGATCAAATTTGCAGATGACACCAAACTGGGAGGGGTGGCTAACACCCCAGAGGACAGGATCACACTTCAAAACAACCTTGACAGATTAGAGAACTGGGCCAAAACAAACAAGATGAATTTTAACAGGGAGAAATGTAAAGTATTGCACTTGGGCAAAAAAAATGAGAGGCACAAATACAAGATGGGTGACACCTGGCTTGAGAGCAGTACATGTGAAAAGGATCTAGGAGTCTTGGTTGACCACAAACTTGACATGAGCCAACAGTGTGACGCGGCAGCTAAAAAGCCAATGCAATTCTGGGCTGCATCAATAGGAGTATAGCATCTAGATCAAGGGAAGCAATAGTGCCACTGTATTCTGCTCTGGTCAGACCTCACCTGGAGTACTGTGTCCAGTTCTGGGCACCACAGTTCAAGAAGGACACTGACAAACTGGAACGTGTCCAGAGGAGGGCAACCAAAATGGTCAAAGGCCTGGAAACGATGCCTTATGAGGAACGGCTAAGGGAGCTGGGCATGTTTAGCCTGGAGAAGAGGAGGTTAAGGGGTGATATGATAGCCATGTTCCAATATATCAAAGGATGTCACATAGAGGAGGGAGAAAGGTTGTTTTCTGCTGCTCCAGAGAAGCGGACACGGAGCAATGGATCCAAACTACAAGAAAGAAGATTCCACCTAAACATTAGGAAGAACTTCCTGACAGTAAGAGCTGTTCGACAGTGGAATTTGCTGCCAAGGAGTGTGGTGGAGTCTCCTTCTTTGGAGGTCTTTAAGCAGAGGCTTGACAACCATATGTCAGGAGTGCTCTGATGGTGTTTCCTGCTTGGCAGGGGGTTGGACTCGATGGCCCTTGTGGTCTCTTCCAACTCTATGATTCTATGATTCATGTGCCTCCTCCATGAGATGTCCAGAGGGTGGCAATGCAATAAGGCACCTTTTCTGCAGTGGCTCCTTGTTTGTGCTCTCCCCAGAGAGGCTCACCTGGTGCCTTCATTATAACACTTTTAGGTGCCAGGCGAAAACGGTCCTCTTCATCTAGGCCTTTGGATGAGTAACATCCAAAACTGTTTTAAATGCGTTTTAGGAGAGGGGATAATTGAATTGTTTTTGCTCTTTATTATTATGTGGGTTTTTTTGTTTCTTATATTGTCTTTTATATTGACTTACTGGTTTTCCCAGTAGTGATGTATGGAAGTGAGAGCTGGACCATAAAGAAGAATCGATGCTTTTGAATTATGGTGCTGGAGGAGACTCTTGTGAGTCCCATGGACTGCAAGAAGATCAAACCTATCCATTCTGAAGGAAGTCAGCCCTGAGTGCTCACTGGAAGGACAGATCCTGAAGCTGAGGCTCCAATACTTTGGCCACCTCATGAGAAGAGAAGACTCCCTGGAAAAGACCCTGATGTTGGGAAAGATGGAGGGCACAAGGAGAAGGGGACGACAGAGGATGAGGTGGTTGGACAGTGTTCTCGAAGCTACCAGCATGAGTTTGACCAAACTGTGGGAGGCAGTGGAAGACAGGAGTGCCTGGTGTGCTCTGGTCCACGGGGTCACGAAGAGTTGGACACGACTAAACAACAACATTGTATTCTTATATATTGTGAACCGCCCTGAGATCTATGGATGAAGGGTGGTACACAAATTTAAATAACAACAACAACCAATACCAGGCTGAAGGTCTAACAGGCTTGTGTGTTGAGCATGCTGCTTTATGGAAGTGAGTCATGGGCAACTGTGGCCTAAACCACTGAGCCTCTTGGGGTTGCGGATAAGAAGGTTGGCGGTTCGAATCCCCGCAACGGGGTGAGCTCTGTCCCTGCTCCTGCCAACCTAGCAATTCAAAAGCACACCAGTGCAAGTAGATAAATAGGTACCACTCTGGCTGGAAGGTAAACGGCCTTTCCGTGCGCTCTGGTTTCCGTCACGGTGTCCCGTTGTGCCAGAAGTGGTTTAGTCCTGCTGGCCACGTGACCCAGAACGCTGTCTGTGGACAAAGGCTGGCTCCCTTGGCCTGAAAAGCGAGATGAGCGCTGCAACCCGATATTCGCCTTTGACTAGACTTAACCGTCCGGGGATCCTTTACCTTTTTACGCTCGCCAGGAGTACAAATGCACTGCGTCAGGAAGATTTTGGGCAGGACAGGATTCCAAACAAAGATGTGCTCTCCCAAGCCCACATTCCCAGTATGTTTGCACTTTTACCTCAGCAGCATTTGCACTGCCTTGGTCATGTGCGTGGAATGCAAGCTGCCAACACAGTTCTAGTTTACAGGTTTTCTATCTTGGGGCAGCACAACCTATTTTTCTTTTGCCCTTTTTCTCAGCTCACCAAGCTCAAACCAGCCACCAGATTTAGGGTGGTGCGGCCGGTTCCCTCGTACAGAGCACAAAGCCGAGGGAGAGCAAAATAATAATAATAATAATAATAATAATAATAATAATAATAATAATACCTTTATTTATATGGGGTACCTACAGAGATCCATATTACCAAAGTCCATCCCTGCTCTCACAACCCATTTTTGCACCAGTTCATTCACATTAAATCATTAAAAAATTGCTCCCCTTTGCTGGTTCCCCTGGCAACCTGCACCCTCCCTTTAACAGAGTTTGCAAAACACAAGGGACTTCCATCAACCTGTTCATTGTCACCCTGATCTGCTTCATAGCTGTCAACGTTTCCCTTTTTTAAAGGGAATTTCCCTTATTCCGAATAGGATTCCTCGCAAGAAAAGGGAGAAGTTGAGAGCTATGATCTGTTTCCAAAATGTTTCCGGGACGCTTGGTTATTGATCCAGCATTTGTTCTGATTTGCTTCCTGGGAGGTTACACGACATCGCGTCAAGCAGCTGTTACCCCACCGCTTCCAATGCATTCCCCCATCACTAAAAGCCCAGTTTGGGAAGGAAGTGTATTTGTTGTGTAAGTGCGCTAATCAGCTTCCGTTGTCTAACTCCAGTTTGCTGGTATGTGATTGGATCCACCCTCGACCCCCCGAAAATAGCAACGGTCTGGAAGTGCCCTTGTTCATTAATGGGTGCTGCTACGAATAAAATCAATGAACACATTTGCAATCCTTTTGATTTTAATCATTGCTCCACTACACAAAGCATTCGTAAAGTGCCAACAGTGTGCAGGTGATGTATAGGAACACAGACAAGACATTGGGACACCTTGAAAACCAGTTCATGTGTTCAGAATCAGACCTGACACGATCCTCCCCTGGGACTGTGAAGCCTAAGAATTGAAAAATTGGAAAAGTGGTATAATACGACAAAAACAGAGTGGCTTGCCAAATTATTGGAGTATTACAATATGTCCAAAACAATGGGAGAAATCGGAAGGATCTCAGAAGAGAAGGTAGACAAGGACTGGAAGGTGTTTAAAGGATATTTGCAAATTCATTTTGAGAAATCAGAACTCCTATTAGAATAAACAAGTTCCGTTATAAATACTGAAATACCAAGTAATATGGATAACAATGTATAACAGAAAATGAAGTAGAAAGTTGGTTTAATAGTGTGTGAAGGAAAGTAATAGAAATGGAAAGAAACTGCAATTGAGTAGACTGGAAGTCTAACACGGGGTGGGGTGAGGGGTGAGGGACAGTGGTGGGAAAAGGATTGAATCTGGGTATGTTATGAATATTTTTAAGGATTGTATGAAATGTATGTTTGTTTGTATATCCGTAATATGTATGTATAAATGTATTAATGTTGAATTATTTCAATTAAAAAAGAAAGAAAGAATTGAACTATGGGACTGCCTGTTTGGAGACATCCCCACACTGTCATCTTCCTGCCTGGCCCTGCTGTGTTTGCTTTTTGTCATTGTGGTAAGTGGAGGCGTTGTTGATGTTGTTATATTGAATTCTATCCCACTTTTCCCCCTGAGAGGAGCTCAAGGTGGCTCACAGGTGGGGTAATAATTTAAAAGCAAGCGGGTGGTGCTGTGGGTTAAACCACAGAGCCTAGGACTTGCCGATCAGAAGGTCAGCAGTTCGAATCCCCGCGACGGGGTGAGCTCCCGTTACTCGGTCCCTGCTCCTGCCAACCTAGCAGCTCGAAAGCACGTCAAAGTGCAAGTAGATAAATAGGTACCACTCCGGCGGGAAGGTAAACGGTGTTTCCATGCACTGCTCTGGTTCACCAGAAGTGGCTTAGTCATGCTGGCCACATGACCCAGAAGCTGTCTGCGGACAAACGCCGGCTCCCTTGGCCAATAAAGCGAGATGAGCGCCGCAACCCCAGAGTCGGTCACGACTGGACCTAATGGTCAGGGGTCCCTTTACCTTTAGCATTAAACATGTTGGGCAGTGTGTATGGAGGTCCTGGGCTGCCCAGACGACAAGCGCTCTCAGCCTCGCTGATACTGTCCAAAGGAAAGCAGAGCAAGACGTTTGGCATCAACTTGGCTGCAGGAGTTGCCAGAAGGAGGCCTTTAAGGAGCCATCCAACTTTCTTAGGGACTTCAGGTTTGTACAGGCTTCACTCCTCAGCTTTTTCTTCTCCCGAGGATATCTTGCAAGGCAGTGGAGGTTTAGGATCACTTTTTCCCTTCTCTTATATGGGCTACCTTCCCAGGTTGACAAGCCACATCTGCCCCTAACTTCCCTGTACAGTACGTGCAGAAACTGCCTTGTAGACCATCGGATACACTATCGATCTCGTCTGCTCAATCTGCTGAAGCCTGTCTTCGCATGCAATGGAAGGGTGTGTGTATGTTTTGTTAGAACATACAGATAATTACAATAAAAAACATCATTGTGTCAGCCCTTTCCGCACAAACAGTCACTTCGCAACAGCATTGTTGGAATAAGAAAGTCTTCATTAGCCAGTGGAAGGATAACAAGGAGCATAGCTGTCAACTGTCCCTTATTTGGCGGGAAACTCCCTTATCCCAGCGCTGTGTCCCGCTGCTGTTCCTTACTGATGATGTCCCTTAAATTTCCCGGGTTTCAAAGGAAGCAGCTCCTCTCCCTCCCTGTCGGCCAGGGAGGCTCCAACTGGGTTGCTTGGCTGCGTTGCTCACCCAATAAGGAGTCTAAGAATGACTGGGGGGTGGAGCTTGCATGCCTTGTGCCGATCAAATCGGCCGTGTTGCCTGGGGACTCGCCTTTGCTCAGCGCTTCCCAGCGGAGAGGTGACGGTGGTTTTCCTTGCTGCATCCCCTTTGCTGGGTTGCTGCGCTGTGGGAACCACCGCTTGAGGCTTCGTTTGGCTGCTGGCTGGGCTTTCTGCCTTTGGCTTGGAGGGGCTCAGAAGTTGAACATACCTGTGCTTGGAAAATCCCTTATTTTGGCTGCTGATCCCTTATTTTTGAGGCTGCTGGTCCCTTATTTTCAAATCTGTAAGTTGACAGCTATGCAAGGAGAGAGAAAGTCTTAAGTTGTGTATGGAGGGAGTTTCAAAGTCTAGGAGCAGTCATAAAAAAACAACAAACCAGTTTCCAATATCCCTATTCCCTGTTCTGTCTTCTGACTGACCAAGAGCACCTTTGTTTTGTATGGTTTAAGTTTCCATTTCTTCACCTTCCTCTAGTCCACTACTGATGACAGATTCTGCTCCAGAACTGAGACAAGCTTCCTTGGATTTAGGTGGAAAGGAGAAACAGAGCTGGGTGTCTTCATCATACTGATGATACCAAGCCCCAAAACTCTCTCCCAGGAAGGAATGTAGACAACTGTAATATAGTCTGACTGTTAGTGTTGGGCTTTCAGGGTCCTTGATGTAATTCAGTCAAATTTCCACAATGTGTTCCAGGATGGGATCAATAGTTGGTCAGTGCTGTTGGTTTTTGGAACTGCATCTGCAAAGAGAAAAGGTCAGATACTCTATGAGCTCCACAAAAGATATAGGGTTCATTTGACACCCAAAGAAATCAGCAATTGCAAATGTGCACTTTAAGATTTCAGTGAAATTTTATAAAGCCATTTGAAAGTAATGTATCTGCGGAATCTTTTTTAGGGCTGATTAATCACCTTTCCTGTAGCTAGTTAACTAAGACTGGGTTACTGTTTGCATGTAAACTCCACAATAGCATCACTCCTCTGATTTAAACAACAACAACAGCCTTAGTATGCACACGAAAGCTTAGACCCAGAACCATCTTGGTCTCTAAGGTGCTACTGGACAATTTTTAAAATTTTTTAATTGATTTCGAAAGCCTTAGTGGTGAGTGTTGTCCAGATAAAGATGTTGGGAACTGTAGTCCATGTGGAGATATCTGTTGGCTACCTCTGGCTCATACAATGCTGGAGGAGGGCATGCCAGGCTGGCTGAAATCCTAAATAGGAACACTCTCGTTAGAGAGAGCACAACGTTCTGTTGCAAGACCTGTTTGCCTTTTTGCAAGTTATACAGTCGTACTTTGGATCTCAAACGCCTTGGCTCCTGAACAAATTGGCTCCCGAATGATCGAAACCCGGAAGTGAGTGTTCTGGTTTTCAAAAGATTTTCAGAAGCTGAACGTCCGACGTGGCTTCCAGTTGGCTGCAGGAACTTCCTGCAGCCAATGGGAAGCTGTGCTTTGGTTTCCGAATGTTTTGGAAGTCGAACGGACTTCTGGAACGGATTCCGTTCGACTTCCAAGGTACGACTGTATTTTGGAGCTGTTTCAATTCCAGTTTTCACTGCTGTACTTGGTCTCTTTTGTTTTGGTTGGTAAGATCCTAATGACTGCAGCTCCCTCCAGTGGTTTCCGTAGATTACTGCCCTGTACTGATTCTGGGGCAATTTTCTAAAAGGGCCTTTGTGTGTGTTCTTCAGTGTTCTTCAGACAAAGACGGATGGGGAAATGTGTGCAGGGAGACTGCAATAAAGTTTGCTGCTTTCACCTCTGAGTGCCTGAGGCTGCATATGCACGACACTGGTCTCATCCAAAAAGTAATAGCTCTTTGCCATTTGTTGATTGACAGCCAGAAATGCTAAAACTCCTTGCACGAGGCTAGGGTTTCCTCTTTTCGACTGTGCATCGGATTGCCCGTCCCCCCCCTCCCTAGAATTAGGGTTGTTCGCTTTGACCTTGCTATGCCTGTCATGGGGTCGTCTGCTCTTGGGGCAGGGGCCCGGTAGGAATTTTGTCCATCTGGCTGATTGCCTGGGGCCATTTGGTTTTTGCCTACTGCGTAGCAAATCGTCACAGCTTGTAAGGTTGTGGTTAGGCATTGGTTTATGGTTTGGTTGGTTGAGGGGCAGTGGTTGAGTGCCTGCCCTTGGTAGGTTGAGTGCCTGCCCCTCTAATGCTGCTGCTGCAAGGGATTCTGTTAAAGGAATTGGGGGCTAACTATTGCTTGTCCACTCTGCCAAGGGGGCTCGGGCCATAGCAATGAGCTCCTGGTTGCATTTGGGGTGAGGGCAGGTTCCCTGCTCCATCGTTACCCCCAAGTGTATTCCCCTATTCTGACTTTCGCATCGTGCGGAATGTCAGTCTGTCCCCCATGGTGGGGGCAGATAGTCGCAACCAATGCCTAAGCAACCACTCACAAATTTGTATTTCAATAAAGTTGTGGCCAAAATTATGCCAAAAATCTTAAACAAAAAATTCTGTGTGATGTGTGAGTTATTGGGGTGGCCCTGGGGATCTCGACATGCAAACAGATGAAAACAGATCTAGTCAGTCCCAGCAATGGGCGTGTATCTACACTTGCCACATGGGCATAGGCAGGGGGGCATCTGCCCCCCTCTAAATCTAATTGGCCAATTGTGTCTGTTCTGTTCTGCCCCTAAAATAAATCCTGGCTGTGCCCATGACCTGCCCAATGACATTTTGGGTGGGTGCGTTGCAATAGCATAATCACTGCTTCCTGTTTCATTTATCTGAGGCACGTGCAAAGGGGAGAAAACATGGATTACCGAAGCAAGGGGAAGGTTTTCCAATGTATATCAAGTAAGCTCACCCTTGTGGGCAGCAGGCTCTAGAATCAAGCTATACAGATTCTAGGTTGAGGATCAGCACTAACAATTCTGGATTGAGGAAAATGACATTTTTGGTTTGTGCGGCAAATGGGCTGGGATGCAGGTGGCGCTGTGAGTTAAACCACAGAGCCTAGGACTTGCTGATCACCAGAAGTTCAGCGGTTTGAATCCCCTCGATGGGATGAATTCCCATTGCTTGGTCCCTGCTCCTACCAACCTAGCAGTTCAAAAGCACGTCAAAGTACAAGTAGATAAATAGGTACCGCTCCGGTGGGAAGGTAAACGGCGTTTCCGTGCGCTGCTCTGGTTCGCCAGAAGCGGCTTAGTCATGCTGGCCACATGACCCTGAAGCTGTACACCGGCTCCCCTGGCCAATAAAGCGAGATGAGCACCGCAACCCCAGAGTCGGCCACGACTGGACCTAATGGTCAGGGGTCCCTTTACCTTTACTTTGCAAATGGGCTTGTGTGTGTACAGCGCCTGGTAATGATGAAGCTGCAAAGCTCATTCTGGCAGCTCCCACATGTTCCCTTGCAGGTCTCCATCTGCCCCCCCTTCCTGATTTACCAGATCTGCATCAGTTGCTGGTCCCTGAGGATGAGAAGTGAGAAGCTTTGCAAGAGAGCTGCTTGTACTCACCTGTGTCGTCGTATCAACCGAGTCCAGAGAGACCTGGAAACTCCTGTTTCTGTCTTGGCTTTCTGAGGAGGAAAGGGCCACAGAACAGCCAAAATGAATGATTGGCCTTAACAGAGAGCCTGTTTTCTCCATCGCAAAGCCTTCCTTGTGGGCATACCTTCCCGACTGCAGTTCTTTTCATTGCAGCCGAGTACTAAGACTCCTGTGTGCTTCAAAGAACAAGTTTGTGACCAAAGGGAAGGGAGGGCTGTTGCTGAGAGCAGCAATGGGATGTGGGGAGGGGGGAAAGCTACATACAAACCAAGAAAACACACACACACACACACCCTGATTTGCTCCTGGTCTACACAGCCCTTGCAGCAGTGCTCTCCTCCTTGCTTTTTGCAAAGCAAGACATTTGCTTTCCTGGAAGCCATCAAAACTCCTGGGCCGGCCCTGGTCAGCCCTGTGCACAGATTGGCCCTTGACCCTGCCACTCAGTTGCTCCGTAAAGTCACACACACACACAGAGAGAGTTTGTAGAATGGCTGTAGTCTGCCTGGATGCCAGGAACACTTCCATAATATGGCGGTGAGTGGGTGCCTGCTTGTGGTTCCTCCACCAGAGACAGATGTGTTCTGCACAGGTATTCACAGCCTTGTTTTATCTCAGTGCAATATGTGGCACTGCTAAGAGGTCCCAAGCCTAAGTTTTGAAGAGCAATCCCTGGCCCACAGCTACCTAATGTAGCTGTGAAGAGTCCTTACCTTCATTGGCAGCTCCTTCATTCACGATGGTCAGACCTCCTGAGGGCTTCCACTCTTCCTCATCTTCCTCATACCAGGCCTCAGCATCATCGGAGAAGCTGCAGGAACAACAACCAAGAGGTCATTACTAGGACCTGAAGGCAGACAGAAGGATGACAGCATTCAACGTGCGCCAGGTACATTTTGCACCAAGGTATGGTTTTCCCAGTAGTGATGTATGGAAGTGAGAGCTGGACCATAAAGAAGGCTGATCGCCGAAGAATTGATGCTTTTGAATTATGGTGCTGGAGGAGACTCTTGAGAGTCCCACGGACTTCAAGAAGATCAGACCTATCCATTCTGAAGGAAATCAGCCCTGAGTGCTCACTGGAAGGACAGATCCTGAAGCTGAGGCTCCAATACTTTGGCCACCTCATGAGAAGAGAAGACTCCCTGGAAAAGACCCTGGGAAAGTTGGGAAAGATGGAGGGCACAAGGAGAAGGGGACGACAGAGGATGAGATGGTGGGACAGTGTTCTCAAAGCTACAAACATGAGTTTGACCAAACTGCGGGAGGCAGTGGAAGACAGGAGTGCCTGGCGTGCTCTGGTCCATGGGGTCACGAAGAATCGGACATAACTAAATGACTAAACAACAACAAAACCGGCCATTTGCAACCAGGTGAAGATGCCCGATGTCTCCACCACCTCTTTCACACACTAGCAACACATCCTGCGGAATTCTACCCATTATATTTTATCTGCACACTCAGAACGAATTTCGGCAACCAAAAGGCCATATTGAGAAATAGGACTTTCGAGCTATCTGGCCCCAAAATGGCAACTAGGCATTCTGTTTTGGTGACTGTAACTCTGGTTTAAGGAGCTATTTGGCACATAACTTATATATCTGAGTTTCTAACACCGCTCTTCCAGCGCAGGCTGCCCTCTCCCTTAGCTAGCTCTTTTGCTAGCTCTTATGGTTCATAAGGTGGGACGCAGGTGGCACTGTGGGTTAAACCACAGAGCCTAGGACTTGCCGATCAGAAGGTTGGCGGTTCGAATCCCTGCAACAGGGTGAGCTCCTGTCTTTCGGTCCCAGCTCCTGCCCACCTAGCAGTTCGAAAGCACCCCTAAGTGCAAGTAGATAAATAGGTACAACTTTATAGCGGGAAGGTAAACGGCGTTCCATGCGCTGCACTGGTGCTGGCTCGCCAGCTGCAGCTTCGTCACGCTGGCCACGTGACCCGGAAGTGTCTCCGGACAGCGCTGGCCACCGGCCTCTTAAGTGAGATGGGCGCACAACCCTAGAGTCGGACATGACTGGCCCGTACAGGCAGGGGTACCTTTACCTTTATGGTTCATAAGACTTATGCTTTCAGCTTGTGGGGAAGAATATGCACCATCTATTACTCAGTCATCTAAGGACCTTGCTGTACTGGCTACCTTTGAACAGGTTGCATACCGAAATCTCAGGGTTGTGTGTTCGAGTCCCACATTGGGCAAAAAGATTCCTGTATATTGCAGGGGGTTGGACTAGATGACCCTTGTGGTCCCTTCCAACTCTACAATTCTGTGATGGTGTTGTGTGGCTTGTTTGCTTTTGTCGGTGGTGGTATTATTTGTACGTCATTTATTTTCCTCTATTTCATTTTATACATCTATTCCCCTTCCTTTTTTTGTTTGTTTGTTAAAAGTGCAAATAAAAATAAAATAATAATACGTAGAAAAAGGATTTTCACAAAAAACCCAGCTAAAGTGCTCCTCTCACCCTTTGTTATCCGCTGCTAAGACATGGGGAAGAAAACATTCATTTTAGCAGGGGATTCCAATGCATAAAAACCCCTTCTAAAATGAAGAAAAGGGCCGTTGTTTTAGCAGAACCTTGAGAGATGCTTTGAAGTCCACAGTTTCAAAGCACGTTTCAGCAGTTGGCACTGTGGCATCGGGCGACTGACCTGTCAAATTTGCCCTGCGAGTTCAAACCTGATCCAGCTCATGGGACCAAACAGATCCCCTACTCATTGCTATACAAGATCCCAGGAAATCGCTAACTCATTAGGTTCGGCTCCCTGCTAAGAAGGACCAGAAATTTAGGTTATTCTCCTCCAGCCTGCATCTTACCCATGCAGTGGCGTAGCGTGGGTTGTCAGCACCCAGAGCAAGGCAAGTAATTTGCGCCCCCTAACCCGTGGATTTGCGCCTCCTAACCCTAACCCCCAGATGTTGCGCCCGGTGCGGCCGGCCCCCCCTGCACCCCCCACGCTACGCCACTGTACCCATGCACTTCTTGTGCTTCTTACCTGGAACGAGACTTCCTCCATCTGGCTCTGAGGAGGAATATCGCCAGGATGGTGCTGATCACTGCAAGGACAGCCAGCCCAACCCCAAAGCCAACATCGCTCTTCCGGATCGGTGTTTGGCAGCGATCATCCATGTACCAAAAGGACTCCACATCATTGCACCTATGGGAGAGATGTGCAAGTGGTTTCAGGGGAGCGCATTCCCCCTTCCCAAGGCCTTGCCAGGTGTTAGAATTCCTGCTCCGTGATTGCAGTCATGGGATTGTTGTCTTGCACATGACGGTATATGTTTTGACTCCACAGAGTGGGAAGTGACGGAGACAGGATGTTTGTGTTCCTGTGTTCCGTGAAGTGGGACTATTGTCCTTTGTTCTTTCTCTTTGCTGTCTGATGCTAGAGAGAGAGGGAGCCATGTTGCAGTGCTCCGTGTGTGTTAATATGTAAATAAAGTAATTAGCCAAAATGCTGAGTTGCTGAGGTCTGTCACGTGCATGATGTGCAAACTCTGCGGATCCCTAAGTGTGTCTGTTGGCATCGGTTGCTGTGATGTTTGGGCTGAAGAAAGCTTTTGAAGCTCCCAAACGAACGACCAGGAGGGAGAGAACATGCCAGTCAGACACGTGTCTCTGCCAGGGTCCTACTCGAGTGTAGGACAAGTGTATGGGAGAGATGTGCAAGTGGTTTTAGGGGAGAGCATTGCCCCCTTCCCAGCCCACATCTGGATTTTCTTGCAGAGGGGAAGAAGAGGAACAGGGCTCTTTCAGACTGTCACAGTTTTCAGCTGGGATTCTATCACGTACTGGCACAAATTCAGGTTTGCAATGGGATGCCCGGATCCAGGGATATTTCTGCTATCCGCTCCTCTGTCCACTTACCTGCAGTAAGGGCCTCTTTCAGATAAGCTACATAAGCCATTGTTGCAGTTCATGGTGTTTTTGGTGTCCTTCGTGCAGTTGGAGATACAGCGCAACGTGCCTGTGGAGTTGTCGGGGTAATAGTAGTCTGCATATCTGGGATCAATGTTTTTTCTGCAAGCAGCTGGGAAGGAGAAAGAAGAAGAGACCACTGCCACAAAAACCGCCAGGACCTTCATGAAGCCCTTAAGGCTATCGTGGCTTCTCGCTTTGTCAGGCAGAGCCCCAGATTCCCAGATGCAAGCCTTTCCCCTCTCCCCTTAAAGAAACCTAAAATCTTTCTCCACCTTTTCATTCACTGCAGCGGCCACCCATCCACCCACTAGAGACCAGCAGGGCTGCACTGTGCCTCCCCAATAAACCCAGCTCCACTTGCTCGCCCAGCTGCCTGCCCCTCCCCTCCCCACGGCCAGGACTGTCTGGGACCAAAGTCACACTCAGGGAAGCGGAGGCAGCTCAGTGGGTACTGCCGATGGGGGGAAGGGGGTCCAGGGCAGCAGCGACTACGACAGTGGTTCCCAACCTTTCTTGGCCATGCCCCACCTAAGCACCTCTAAAAGCCCAATCGCCTTCTAAATCCAGCCCATGGACGGTCCAGGAATCGGCGTGTTTATACATGAGTAGAATGTGTCAGTAGTAGAATGTGTCCTTTTATTTAAAACACATCTCTGGGTTATTTGTGGGGCTTGCCTGGTGTTTTCACATGAGTAGAATGTGTGCTTTTATTTAAAATGCATCTCTGGGTTATTTGTGGGGCCTGCCTGGTGTTTTCACATGAGTAGAATGTGTGCTTTTATTTAAAATGCATCTCTGGGTTATTTGTGGGGCCTGCCTGGTGTTTTCACATGAGTAGAATGTGTCCGTTTATTTAAAATGCATCTCTGGGTTATTTGTGGGGCCTGCCTGGTGTTTTCACATGAGTAGAATGTGTCCGTTTATTTAAAATGCATCTCTGGGTTATTTGTGGGGCCTGCCTGGTGTTTTCACATGAGTAGAATGTGTGCTTTTATTTAAAATGCATCTCTGGGTTGTTTGTGGGGCATGGGAATTCATTCATATTTTTTTTCAAAATATAGTCCGGCTCCCCACAAGGTCTGAGGGACAGTGGACCGGCCCCCTGCTGAAAAAGTTTGCTGACCCCTGGTTTAACAGATCAGTGTGGATCTAGTGATACTGATGCGGAATAGAATGTACCTGTTTTCATCTGAGGAACATTGGAAGGCATCTGCCAAACTATCCCACCATGAAAGAGAAGAATGGAGGCCTGGCAGTGCCAACTTGCTGACACCATGATGCAGCCAGAAGAACAGGCAGGCAGCTCCCCTTGGGTTTAGAATGAGCAAGCATGCAGGACCAGTTCCAGGCAGCTCACTGTTTTTGCTCTCACTGGACAGGCTGCGGGTGCATAAATAATCCCTTTGTCCCTCCCTAATTCTGGGACTCACCTTCAGCTGAAAAATTTGTGCTTGCGCTCAAAATAGGGTCAGGTGAAGCTGAAAAGCAAAATGCTGTGGAAAGAAAGAGATGGTTACATTGCATGATTTTACTTATTTCCTTTCTTATATATTTTTTCTGCACCTCTTCAAAATGCCCTGACAGTCTCTCTAAAGTCTCTCTAAAGAAGGTAATGTGGAGAGGTATACGCTGTAATGTAATCTTGAACATAGGTCAGGTGGGTGGGGAATAATAATAATAATAATAATAATAATAATAATGGAATAGGTAAAGGTAAGGGGACCCCTGACAGTTAAGTCCAGTCACAGACGACTCTGGGGTTGCGGCGCTCATCTCGCTTTACTGGCCGAGGGAGCCAACTTCCGGGTCACGTGGCCAGCATGACTAAGCCGCTTCCGGCGAACCAGAGCAGCGCACAGAGAAATGCCGTTTACCTTCCCACCAGAGCAGTACCTATTTATCTACTTGCACTGGCCTGCTTTCAAACTGCTAGGTTGGCAGGAGCAGGGACCGAAAAACGGGAGCTCACCCCGTTACGAGGTTTCGAACCGCCGACCTTCTGATCAGCAAGCCCTAGGCTCTGTGGTTTAACCCACAGTGCCACCCGCGTCCCAATAATGGAATAGGACGTCCCAGTTTCATCGGAGAAATGTTGGACGGTATGTGAAAGAAGCTCTTGTTAGAAATAGGTGGATGGAGGAAATCAGGCACACACATCTTGGCTCTCTGAAGCATTTGATGAAGTAGAAGTTAGTCCAGGCTTCTTCAACCTTGGCCCTCCAGATGTTTTTGGCCTATAACTCCCATGAGCCCTAGCTAGCAGGACCAGTGGTCAGGGATGGTGGGAATTGTAGTCTCAAAACATCTGGAGGGCCGAGGTTGAGGAAGCCTGAGATAGTCCATAACAGCTTATAATGCCATCATGAAATTCTTCAAGGTGTCACAACCTTTTTTCTTGTTTTTGCTGCAAGAGATCAATCTGACTCCTTCTCTAGATATGGACTTTTATTTAGTGCAGGGACTCCCAGCCATGGAACCTTCTGAGTACCCTTCTCTAGCCAGGAGGACACAATAATATTGAAATATCATCTCGAACTGGAAGACTGTTGCCCGGAGCTTACATGAGTTCCCTGTATTGCATTCCTCCTGAGTGGAGTTGACGGCAGTCAGCTGCTTCCGCACGACCTCGGTCAAATTCTGGACAGTTTTGTCAATGATGTTCACATCGTTGTTTATTACAGCTTTAATGATGACTTCGTGGTCCACGATAATGCTGCCTTTCCTAACACAGTGATGAAAAAGGGCAATATCTCAACCACCATTTTGTTGTTAAAAAGAGCACGGCAGGGCATAGCTGTCAACTTACAGATTTGAAAATAAGGGAGCAGCAGCCTCGAAAATAAGGGATCAGCAGGCAAAATAAGGGATTTTGCTGTTGTAAAGAGTTACATACATTGGTAGGATTGACAGATGCTGTCAATCCGGCATGAGGCGGTTACGGTTCCCGCCGTGGCCGCTGAAGCGCCGCCCTTCTGCGTCCCTCCCCATCCCCATCGCCTCCTCTTCCTCCTCCCTCAGGCCGCCTCCTCAGCTGCCACCACTGCTGCCGCCTCCGGGCTCGCGGGTGGCGTGGGCAAGAGTCTCTCCCTCCCCCCTCTCTCTCGGGCAGGGAAGGGCCGATAGAACTCCTCGCACCAGGATGCCAGCATGCACTCTCTCGCGCGGCGGAGGACCCCGGGCCGCTGCTTCCCTCCCGAGCCGGGCAAGCATGAAACCCGGGAAATTTAAGGGACATCATCAATAAGGGACAGCAGCGGGACACGGCGCTGGGATAAGGGAGTTTCCCGCCAAATAAGGGACGGTTGACAGCTATGCGGCAGGGGCGCACGTTGACGAGGAGAAAGCCAAAACCGGAAATTCACTTATGTCCTTATGAATGTGCAAGATCAGTGCTATGGGGGCAGCCTAAATCTTGTTCTACCAGCATGGCTGTATGCACACCATATACATTTAAAGGACATGTTTTCCTCCAAAGAATTCTGAGAGCTGCAGTCTGTGAAGGGTGCTGGGAATTGCAGATTTCTGATAGATGCCCTCCAGTTCCCATGATTATTTGCAGAATGCAATGTGCTTTCAATGTATGGCGCACAAGCCGAATGCATAACAATGCACGGACGACAACAATGGGATATCAGCTCCGCCCAATGCCTGATGGATAACAGCAACAACCGGGAAAAGATAAACATAACATTTTACAAGGACAGGAAGAAACACCACAGACAGAATAATTGCCACACACAGGAAGAACAAAGATATTGTTTGAGTGCCTCATTTGTAGTTTTATAAATCATTTAATGTGTCAGCATGAATGGAAGTTATTAATATTGCAGTTGTCGTATAAGGGATTGTTATTATGACCGGAATGTAATTGAAATTCATAAGATTTTGTAATGCAGAAATAAAGAAATAATCAAACCATCAATTCTAGCACGCGGGGGGACGGGACCTTATCTAAATTATATAATTTGGTATTTGAACGATTGGTATTAGTAATTGTATTATAAATTGGTATTGTTATAATGAGGCTATTACAGTGGGACCTCGGGTTAAGTACTTAATTCGTTCCGGAGGTCCGTTCTTAACCTGAAACTGTTCTTAACCTGAAGCACCACTTTAGCTAATGGGGCCTCCCGTTGCCGCTGTGTCGCTGGAGCAAGATTTCTGTTCTCATCCTGAAGCAAAGTTCTTAACCCGAGGTACTATTTCTGGGTTAGCGGAGTCTGTAACCTGAAGTGTATGTAACCCGAGGTACCACTGTATTGGATTGTAATTGAAAACTAATAAAAATTATTAATGACAACCACAAGGACGAGGACAAGGACGACGACAACAACAACAACGCACGAACTGTCTCTGTTTGTGGAAATATTCTTGATTTGGAATCTAGACTGGGGATGTTTTCAAAAAATGGGCTACTCTTCAATCAGTAGATGAACGTTAGCCTTAGTCATGCAGATAACAGGAGTACAGACAGGAGCAGCCTAAGATCTCCTAGGGAGAGATTAGGTGCCTGGGAATGATACGGAACAAGGGGGATTCTGGGAACAACAACCTCTTGGGTTTCCTTTGAGGAGAGAGGGACCTGGTAGGGTGGCAACAGGAAGCCAGGAGGACTCGTTCACTGGCTTCACCTTAGCCTAATCTGAAACATGAATAGGCCACTGGACAATATGGCATCTCAAAGTGGTCTCTGCTTCAGGTACCTACCGCAGTTTTAAGATCACCACACCTTGGTATCCAGAGACGCCCTGATAAACATTGTCCATCTAAATGGTGGAGAGGAAAAATACAGAATGTCTTAATAATCTAGGCTGGAGTCATTTAGACAGGGAAGGTAAACAGAATGAAAGAGAACTCTATAACCAACAGAGCAAGGTGTTGAAGGATGAGTCAATGGTTCATTGTTACCTGCATCTTAAATTCCTCTTCCAAGTTCTTATACTCTTCTGACTCTTGGTTCTCGAGCTCTGGAACGAACTCCTTGTTGGTGATTTTAACTTGGACTTCAATTGTCACGGGCACACTTTCTAAAATGGAGGGAGATCGATCATCAGGCGATTGGAACATGTCCCCTCTGAGGAACTGCTAAAATGCTGGAGGTGTTTTAGTTAAGGTGAAACCCCACCCCACTAAGAAGGACATGAATAAGAGAAAACCTCATAAAATGTATGATGTGGAGAAACAGAAGTTTTTCTTCCCATCTCCTAACACTAGAACTTAACATGGGTTGCAATGGGGCAGGGCAAATGTCTAAATGGCAGATCTATGCTATTAGTAATAGTTATGGCTATTAGTTATACTTTAATTGACACTCCTCGTTCAGATTTGGCTGATCCTCAGTCTAGGACAGACATAGGCAAACTCCAGCCCTTCAGATGTTTGGGACTACAATTCCCATCATCCCTAGCTAACAGGACCAATGGTCAGGGATGAATTGTAGTCTCAAAACATCTGGAAGCCGGAGTTTGCCTATGCCTGGTCTAGGAACATCTGCCTCTGCCAGGAAAAAGTCTGTATTTGCAGAAGCCTTGTCCGGTTTTATAGGCATTGGTTCTGATTATGCTGGAGGGATTGCCTCCACCCCACAGCTGATATTTACCCCCCAAAGATGCCATAAGCATGACCTACAGGGGCAAAGAGCAGCTGGGGTGTGAATCTACTGTGGGGCTCCAATCCAGATTTAGAGTGGAATCCAGATCAAAGGTGTGGGGAATTCTGCTTTCCTTTGAAATAAAAATGGTCAGCATAAGCCTTTTTTTAAAAAGCGTGTTTAACACAACGTGGCGTTTTGCCCAAAGTTCAAAGGCTCCCTTGCGATTCCTGATAGCTGTTGCTAATGGTTCTATTCCAAGAGCAAATTAGAAGAGGAGAAATCGCATCCTTGCCAAGATTGTATATGATTTTCTCTATTTATAACTTTGTCCATGGGATTTATTGTGCTCTGAGTGCTCTTTTAAGAGCTCAAAAGTGCCATATAAATGTCTAATCTCATTTATATCACACTGAGGTCCAGCGCCGAGGGCCTTCTGGCGGTTCCCTCGCTGCGAGAAGCCAAGTTGCAGGGAACCAGGCAAAGGGCCTTCTCGGTAGTGGCACCCGCCGTGTGGAACGCCCTCCCACCAGATGTCAAAGAGAACAACAACTACCAGACTTTTAGAAGACATCTGAAGGCAACCCTGTTTAGGGAAGCTTTTAATGTTTAATAGACTATTGTATTTTAATATTCTGTTGGAAGCTGCCCAGAGTGTCTGGGGAAACCCAGCCAGATGGGCGGGGTATAAATTATTATTATTATTATTATTATTATTATTATCATCATTATCATTATCATTATCATCATATTTATATATACAAAGGTGTTGAGAGCTGTCAGAAAATCCCTCACAGAGCTACAATTTCCAGCGCCCGGAACAAACTACAATTCCCTGGATTCTTTGCGGGGAAGCTATGGCCGCTGTAGTGGTTAAGAGCGCTTTAAACATCTTAAAGCCCCCAACTGTGGTCCCCACCCCAAATGTTTTTGCTTTACCCCTCCAATCCCCCTGGATGTCTTTTAAAGAGAAGATAGCTGAATAACTTAATTTAATAATTAATTTAATAATTTAATAACAAGTAGTAGTAGTAGTAGTTGTTAATACATCATTTTGTACGTTTTGCGGTATTTTATGCATTGTGCCTTGCCGTTACTTTTATGGCTTGTAGTTTAATCATTCTTCATTGCAGTGGATAAGTCTGAACGGTTTATTACTTGCCCGATATTTAATTTTACTGCTTACTGTTATAGATTCTAACGGATTATTGAATATCACTTTATTTGATATAGGTTGTTTATTTTTAAGTTATTGTGACTTTTTTTGTATCGGATCAGACTGTTATTATTATTGATGTTTGATGATACCCTAGTCTTTCCCGTCTTATATACGGCGCAAAAGGGATTGGAGTGTACTTGGTCTGCTCTGCAGGAATGGAGGTCAGGTTGCTCTCGGTTCTACTTACCCACTTCAAAAGGCATGTCTTCAACTGGGAACTCACACTTCGGCCCATAGAAATTGCTAAGGCACAAACATTTGATGCCATCATGTGTTCCCCCATTTTCACACGTTTCTGGAAGAGAGAAGGTTTCCCCCACAAAATGTGGTTAGCAGCAATCTAATGTACAGGTATATAGAGAAAAACACATAGGGAAAGTGAAATTCTTCTTGACACTCAAGTAACGTTTCACAATTCCTCAGAGCTGAAAATTTTATCTCAGCCGAGGATGCCATGAAACACTTGCTACTCTTTTAAGGTGCCACAGGTTGAAGAAGAGTGGAGCGGGAAGGTAAGGTAAAGGTAAAGGGACCCCTGACCATTAGGTCCAGTCGTGGCCGACTCTGGGGTTGCGGCGCTCATCTCGCTCTATAGGCCACCGTTTGTCCGCAGACAGCTTCCGGGTCATGTGGCCAGCATGACTAAGCCGCTTCTGGCGAACCAGAGCAGCACACGGAAACGCCGTTTACCTTCCCGCCAGAGCGGTACCTATTTATCTACTTGCACTTTGATGTGCTTTTGAACTGCTAGGTTGGCAGGAGCTGGGACTGAGGAACGGGAGCTCACCCCGTTGATGGGATTCGAACTGCCAGCCTTCTGATCAGCAAGTCCTAGGCTCTGTGGTTTAACCCACGACGCCACCCGCGTAGCAGCTTCCAAAATACACTTAAATAACAAACGTATTAAGTTCATCTGAAAGGTTTTTGAAGTGCCCTGTCTAATCCAGCTTTGGGCCATGTTGACAGGCATGGCACCAAGGCCCTCATTCCTGTTAATTTTGGAAGTTGGTGAGCGTTGTTGCAGGGAAATCAACACTGACCTTCTCTTGTCCATATTGTCCATGTTGAATGTCCCTTGCCCACACTGAATGCGTACAACCCCTTTGCAGCCAGTTGCCAAAAATCACTCTCTAAAATGTTCAAACCACTATGGCCAAACTCCAATTTGATGCCATTATCTGCTGAAGTGGCAAACTTCCTTTGCTTTCTGTGGTAAAAGGTAAAAAGGTAAAGGACCCTTGAATGGTTAAGTCCAATCAAAGGCGACTATGGGGTTGTGGCGCTCATCTCACTTTCAGGCCGAGGGAGCCACCGTTCATCCACAGACAGCTTTCCGGGTCATGTGGCCAGCAGGACTAAACTGCTTCTGGCGCAACGGGACACCTGTGATGGAAGCCAGAATGCATGGAAACGCCGTTTAGCTTCCCGCCACAGTGGTACCTATTTATCTACTTGCACTGGCGTGCTTTCGAACTGCTAGGTTGGCAGGAGCTGGGACAGAGCAACGGGAGCTCACTCCGTTGTGGGGATGTCGGGAATCAAGCCTTAATCAGGAGAAACTGGCTACTCTCCAGGCACCCGGCTTGATCTCCTGTTGACCTCCCTGTCTGCATTCCCCAGCAGGATCCAGGTAGAGGTCGCGATAGGCGATCCTTCTCAGAGTGAGAAGGACACACCCCCTCTTTCCTGCCCCCCAGGCAGAGGAAGAGATAGACAGAAACGTATTTACATTCCTTTATTTCTGTCTTTGCAGCGTTACAAAAGCATGACTGCTCTCTTCAAGCTCCAGCAGTCGAGAGACAAACTCCTCCTGTACTTCCTGTACAGCTCATATTACACTCTGAGCTAATTCCGGTGCCCTCTGCACTGTGAATTGACTGTCCCTCTGTTTCCCACGGAACAGTCCCAACATTCCCATTATGTTTTGCTTTCAAGCTACCAGCAGCTCGCGGCTGAATTGCTTCAATATCGTAACAGATTCGAACCGCTGACCTCCTGATTGGCAAGCCCTAGAGGCTCAGTGGCTTAGACCACAGCAAGGCAAGAAAGAGAAGGGGATGCAAGCCAATGAAAATGGACTGCTATGGGAAAGGGAACTGAGGTAACCAGTGCTTTTTTTCTTTAAAAAATGTTTAGGGGTACTCTCATTTTGGCTCAAGAAAATCACCATTTTATAGTTCAAATCGGGGGGAAATAAATACAGTAAATGGACAAAAGTACAAAGAGTCATAAAATGTTTAGGGGTATGCGTACCCCTGTGTATCCCCAGAAAAAAAGCACTGGAAGTAACTGGTTAGGAAGCTGGTTTTCATTGCATTCTTGTGCCACAAGGAATCTTCCTGAGCCAAGACATACCTGTAGGAAGTATCAACGCTTCACTGGAAACCTCGCAGAAGCTTCCCAGAGAAAAGGAAGGCTTCTCTGGGGCAAGGAGAACCAGAAATCTGATAATGACTAAAACTCAGGGAACTCGGAAATTCCAGAAACCACCAGGTTAAAGTCAAAGGTTCCCCGTGCAGATGAAATGGAAGGGCTACAGAACTCTGAAACCTGAATCTGGGGTTAGGCCTTACATAAAAAAAATGCCTCAAGGAAAAGGAAGCAGCTAAATTTCATATTTGTTTCCAGTTTCCCACACAGCTATATAGAAGCCATTGAAAACAGATTCAGCAACATAAAACCAAATGATCACCTGTAATGGTCTGTCTAGTAGTGGTGGTGGATGAAGTTGTAACTGGTGGCGTGGCAGAGCTGGTAGTGGTAAGCGATGTGGTGGTGGTGGTGGTTGTGGGTGTGGTGGTAGTCGTGGCCGGCGAGGTGGTGGTGGTGGGAGTGGTGGTAGTCGTTACTGGTGAGGTGGTGGTTGTGGGTTTGGTGGTAGTCGTGGCTGGCGAGGTGGTGGTGGTGGTAGTGGGAGTGGTGGTAGTTGTGACCGGTGAGGTGGTGGTGGTTGTGGTGGTAGTTGTGGCTGGCGAGGCGGCGGTGGTAGTTGTGGGTGTGGTGGTAGATGTGGCTGGTGAGGCGGTGGTGGTGGGTGTGGGTGTGGTGGTAGTCGTGGCAGGCGAGGTGGTTGTTGTGGGAGTGGTTGTAGTCGTGGCTGGCGAGGTGGTGGTTGTGGGTGTGGTGGTAGTCGTGGCCGGCGAGGCGGTGGTTGTGGGTTTGGTGGTAGTCGTGGCTGGCGAGGTGGTGGTGGTGGTAGTGGGAGTGGTGGTAGTTGTGACCAGTGAGGTGGTGGTGGTTGTGGTGGTAGTTGTGGCTGGCGAGGCGGCGGTGGTAGTTGTGGGTGTGGTGGTAGATGTGGCTGGTGAGGCGGTGGTGGTGGGTGTGGGTGTGGTGGTAGTTGTGGGCGGGGATGTTGTTGTGCGAGTGGTGGTAGTCGTGGCCGGCGAGGTGGTGGTAGTGGGAGTGGTGGTAGTTGTGGCCAGCGAGGCGGTGGTGGTGGTTGTGGAAATGGTGGTAGTCGTGACCGGTGAGGTGGTAGTTGTGGGAGTGGTGGTAGCTGTGGACTGCGAGGCGGTGGTGCTGGTTGTGGGTGTGGTGGTAGATGTGGCTGGTGAGGTTGTTGTTGTGGGAGTGGTGGTAGTTGTGGCCGGTGAGGTGGTGGTTGTGAGAGTGGTGCTAGTCATGACCGGTGAGTTGGTGGTAGTGGGAGTGGTGGTAGTTGTGGCCGGGGAGGCGGTGGTGGTGGTTGTGGGAGTGGTGGTAGTTGTGGCCGGGGAGGTGGTTGTTGTGAGAGTGGTGCTAGTCGTGACCGGTGAGTTGGTGGTAGTGGGAGTGGTGGTAGTTGTGGCTGGTGAGGCGGTGGTGGTGGGTGTGGGTGTGGTGGTAGTCGTGGCAGGCGAGGTGGTTGTTGTGGGAGTGGTTGTAGTTGTGGCTGGCGAGGTGGTGGTTGTGGGTGTGGTGGTAGTCGTGGCCGGCGAGGTGGTGGTTGTGGGTTTGGTGGTAGTCGTGGCTGGCGAGGTGGTGGTGGTGGTAGTGGGAGTGGTGGTAGTTGTGACCGGTGAGGTGGTGGTGGTTGTGGTGGTAGTTGTGGCTGGCGAGGCGGCGGTGGTAGTTGTGGGTGTGGTGGTAGATGTGGCTGGTGAGGCGGTGGTGGTGGGTGTGGGTGTGGTGGTAGTTGTGGGCGGGGATGTTGTTGTGGGAGTGGTGGTAGTCGTGGCCGGCGAGGTGGTGGTAGTGGGAGTGGTGGTAGTTGTGGCCAGCGAGGCGGCGGTGGTGGTTGTGGAAATGGTGGTAGTCGTGACCGGTGAGGTGGTAGTTGTGGGAGTGGTGGTAGCTGTGGACTGCGAGGCGGTGGTGCTGGTTGTGGGTGTGGTGGTAGATGTGGCTGGTGAGGTTGTTGTTGTGGGAGTGGTGGTAGTTGTGGCCGGTGAGGTGGTGGTTGTGAGAGTGGTGCTAGTCATGACCGGTGAGTTGGTGGTAGTGGGAGTGGTGGTAGTTGTGGCCGGGGAGGCGGTGGTGGTGGTTGTGGGAGTGGTGGTAGTTGTGGCCGGGGAGGTGGTTGTTGTGAGAGTAGTGCTACTCGTGACCGGTGAGTTGGTGGTAGTGGGAGTGGTGGTAGTTGTGGCCGGGGAGGCGGTGGTGGTGGTTGTGGGTGTGGTGGTAGTTGTGGCCGGGGAGGTGGTTGTTGTGGGAGTGGCGGTAGTCGTGACAGGCGAGTCAGTGCTGGTGGTTGTGGGAGTGGCGGTAGTCGTGACAGGCGAGTCAGTGCTGGTGGTTGTGGGAGTGGCTGTAGTTGTGACTGGTGAGTCAGTGGTGCTGGTTGTGGGAGTGGCGGTAGTCGTGACAGGCGAGTCAGTGCTGGTGGTTGTGGGAGTGGCGGTAGTCGTGACAGGCGAGTCAGGGCTGGTGGTTGTGGGAGTGGCGGTAGTCGTGACAGGCGTGTCAGTGGTGGTGGTAGTTGTGGGAGTGGCGGTAGTCGTGACTGGCGAGTCACTGCTGGTGGTTGTGGGAGTGGCGGTAGTCGTGACAGGCGTGTCAGTGGTGGTGGTAGTTGTGGGAGTGGCGGTAGTTGTGACTGGCGAGTCAGGGCTGGTGGTTGTGGGAGTGGCGGTAGTCGTGACAGGCGAGTCAGTGCTGGTGGTTGTGGGAGTGGCGGTAGTCGTGACAGGCGAGTCAGTGCTGGTGGTTGTGGGAGTGGCGGTAGTCGTGACAGGCGAGTCAGTGCTGGTGGTGGGAGTGGCGGTGGTCGTGACAGGCGAGTCAGTGCTGGTGGTTGTGGGAGTGGTGGTGGTCATGACAGTCGAGTCAGTGCTGGTGGTTGTGGGAATGGCGGTAGTCGTGACAGGCGACTCAGTGCTGGTGGTTGTGGGAGTGGCTGTAGTCGTGACAGGTGAGTCAGTGGTGCTGGTTGTGGGAGTGGCGGTAGTCGTGACAGGCGAGTCAGGGCTGGTGGTTGTGGGAGTGGCGGTAGTCGTCACAGGCGAGTCAGTGCTGGTGGTTGTGGGAGTGGCGGTAGTCGTGACTGGCGAGTCAGTGCTGGTGGTTGTGGGAGTGGCGGTAGTCGTTACAGGCGAGTCAGGGCTGGTGGTTGTGGGAGTGGCAGTAGTCGTGACAGGCGTGTCAGTGGTGGTGGTTGTGGAAGTGGCAGTAGTTGTGACAGGCGAGTCGGGGCTGGTGGTTGTGGGAGTGGCGGTAGTCGTGACAGGCGAGTCAGTGCTGGTGGTTGTGGGAGTGGCAGTAGTCGTGACAGGCGAGTCGGGGCTGGTGGTTGTGGGAGTGCCGGTAGTCGTGACAGGCGAGTCAGGGCTGGTGGTTGTGGGAGTGGCTGTAGTCGTGACAGGCGAGTCGGGTCTGGTGGTTGTGGGAGTGGCGGTTGTCGTGACAGGCAAGTCACTGCTGGTGGTTGTGGGAGTGGCAGTAGTCGTGACAGGCGAGTCGGGGCTGGTGGTTGTGGGAGTGCCGGTAGTCGTGACAGGCGAGTCAGGGCTGGTGGTTGTGGGAGTGGCGGTAGTCGTGACAGGCGTGTCAGTGGTGGTGGTGGTTGTGGGAGTGGCGGTAGTCGTGACAGGCGAGTCAGGGCTGGTGGTTGTGGGAGTGGTGCTACTCGTGACCGGTGAGTTGGTGGTAGTGGGAGTGGTGGTAGTTGTGGCCGGGGAGGCGGTGGTGGTGGTTGTGGGAGTGGTGGTAGTTGTGGCCGGGGAGGTGGTTGTTGTGGGAGTGGCGGTAGTCGTGACAGGCGAGTCAGTGCTGGTGGTTGTGGGAGTGGTGGTAGTAGTGATAGGCGAGTCAGTGCTGGTGGTTGTGGGAGTGGCTGTAGTTGTGACTGGTGAGTCAGTGGTGCTGGTTGTGGGAGTGGCGGTAGTCGTGACAGGCGAGTCAGTGCTGGTGGTTGTGGGAGTGGCGGTAGTCGTCACAGGCGAGTCAGTGGTGGTGGTTGTGGGAGTGGCGGTAGTCGTGACAGGCGTGTCAGTGGTGGTGGTAGTTGTGGGAGTGGCGGTAGTCGTGACTGGCGAGTCAGTGCTGGTGGTTGTGGGAGTGGCGGTAGTCGTGACAGGTGTGTCAGTGGTGGTGGTAGTTGTGGGAGTGGCGGTAGTTGTGACTGGCGAGTCAGGGCTGGTGGTTGTGGGAGTGGCGGTAGTCGTGACAGGCGAGTCAGTGCTGGTGGTTGTGGGAGTGGCGGTAGTCGTGACAGGCGAGTCAGTGCTGGTGGTTGTGGGAGTGGCGGTAGTCGTGACAGGCGAGTCAGTGCTGGTGGTTGTGGGAGTGGCGGTAGTCGTGACAGGCGAGTCAGTGCTGGTGGTGGGAGTGGCGGTGGTCGTGACAGGCGAGTCAGTGCTGGTGGTTGTGGGAGTGGTGGTGGTCATGACAGTCGAGTCAGTGCTGGTGGTTGTGGGAATGGCGGTAGTCGTGACAGGCGACTCAGTGCTGGTGGTTGTGGGAGTGGCTGTAGTCGTGACAGGTGAGTCAGTGGTGCTGGTTGTGGGAGTGGCGGTAGTCGTGACAGGCGAGTCAGTGCTGGTGGTTGTGGGAGTGGCGGTAGTCGTCACAGGCGAGTCAGTGCTGGTGGTTGTGGGAGTGGCGGTAGTCGTGACTGGCGAGTCAGTGCTGGTGGTTGTGGGAGTGGCGGTAGTCGTTACAGGCGAGTCAGGGCTGGTGGTTGTGGGAGTGGCTGTAGTCGTGACAGGCGTGTCAGTGGTGGTGGTTGTGGAAGTGGCAGTAGTCGTGACAGGCGAGTCGGGGCTGGTGGTTGTGGGAGTGGCGGTAGTCGTGACAGGCGAGTCAGGGCTGGTGGTTGTGGGAGTGCCGGTAGTCGTGACAGGCGAGTCAGGGCTGGTGGTTGTGGGAGTGGCTGTAGTCGTGACAGGCGACTCGGGTCTGGTGGTTGTGGGAGTGGCGGTTGTCGTGACAGGCAAGTCACTGCTGGTGGTTGTGGGAGTGGCAGTAGTCGTGACAGGCGAGTCGGGGCTGGTGGTTGTGGGAGTGCCGGTAGTCGTGACAGGCGAGTCAGGGCTGGTGGTTGTGGGAGTGGCGGTAGTCGTGACAGGCGTGTCAGTGGTGGTGGTGGTTGTGGGAGTGGCGGTAGTCGTGACAGGCGAGTCAGGGCTGGTGGTTGTGGGAGTGGCGGTAGTCGTGACAGGCGAGTCAGTGGTGGTGGTGGTTGTGGGAGTGGCGGTAGTCGTGACTGGCGAGTCAGTGCTGGTGGTTGTGGGAGTGGCGGTAGTCGTGACAGGCGTGTCAGTGGTGGTGGTGGTTGTGGGAGTGCCGGTAGTCGTGACAGGCGAGTCAGGGCTGGTGGTTGTGGGAGTGGCGGTAGTCGTGACAGGCGTGTCAGTGGTGGTGGTGATTGTGGGAGTGGCGGTAGTCGTGACAGGCGAGTCAGTGGTGGTGGTGGTTGTGGGAGTGGCGGTAGTCGTGACTGGCGAGTCAGGGCTGGTGGTTGTGGGAGTGGCGGTAGTCGTTACAGGCGAGTCAGGGCTGGTGGTTGTGGGAGTGGCTGTAGTCGTGACAGGCGTGTCAGTGGTGGTGGTTGTGGGAGTGGCAGTAGTCGTGACAGGCGAGTCGGGGCTGGTGGTTGTGGGAGTGGCGGTTGTCGTGACAGGCGAGTCAGTGCTGGTGGTTGTGGGAGTGGCGGTAGTCGTGACAGGCGAGTCAGTGCTGGTGGTTGTGGGAGTGGCGGTAGTCGTGACAGGCGAGTCAGTGCTGGTGGTGGGAGTGGCGGTGGTCGTGACAGGCGAGTCAGTGCTGGTGGTTGTGGGAGTGGTGGTGGTCATGACAGTCGAGTCAGTGCTGGTGGTTGTGGGAATGGCGGTAGTCGTGACAGGCGACTCAGTGCTGGTGGTTGTGGGAGTGGCTGTAGTCGTGACAGGTGAGTCAGTGGTGCTGGTTGTGGGAGTGGCGGTAGTCGTGACAGGCGAGTCAGTGCTGGTGGTTGTGGGAGTGGCGGTAGTCGTGACAGGCGAGTCAGTGCTGGTGGTTGTGGGAGTGGCGGTAGTCGTGACTGGCGAGTCAGTGCTGGTGGTTGTGGGAGTGGCGGTAGTCGTTACAGGCGAGTCAGGGCTGGTGGTTGTGGGAGTGGCTGTAGTCGTGACAGGCGTGTCAGTGGTGGTGGTTGTGGGAGTGGCAGTAGTCGTGACAGGCGAGTCGGGGCTGGTGGTTGTGGGAGTGGCGGTAGTCGTGACAGGCGAGTCGGGGCTGGTGGTTGTGGGAGTGGCGGTAGTCGTGACAGGCGAGTCAGGGCTGGTGGTTGTGGGAGTGGCTGTAGTCGTGACAGGCGACTCGGGTCTGGTGGTTGTGGGAGTGGCGGTTGTCGTGACAGGCAAGTCACTGCTGGTGGTTGTGGGAGTGGCAGTAGTCGTGACAGGCGAGTCGGGGCTGGTGGTTGTGGGAGTGCCGGTAGTCGTGACAGGCGAGTCAGGGCTGGTGGTTGTGGGAGTGGCGGTAGTCGTGACAGGCGTGTCAGTGGTGGTGGTGGTTGTGGGAGTGGCGGTAGTCGTGACAGGCGAGTCAGTGGTGGTGGTGGTTGTGGGAGTGGCGGTAGTCGTGACTGGCGAGTCAGTGCTGGTGGTTGTGGGAGTGGCGGTAGTCGTTACAGGCGAGTCAGGGCTGGTGGTTGTGGGAGTGGCTGTAGTCGTGACAGGCGTGTCAGTGGTGGTGGTTGTGGGAGTGGCAGTAGTCGTGACAGGCGAGTCAGTGCTGGTGGTTGTGGGAGTGGCTGTAGTCGTGACAGGCGTGTCAGTGGTGGTGGTAGTTGTGGGAGTGGCGGTAGTCGTGACAGGCAAGTCAGTGCTGGTGGTTGTGGGAGTGGCTGTAGTCGTGACAGGCGTGTCAGTGGTGGTGGTTGTGGAAGTGGCAGTAGTCGTGACAGGCGAGTCGGGGCTGGTGGTTGTGGGAGTGGCGGTAGTCGTGACAGGCGAGTCAGTGCTGGTGGTTGTGGGAGTGGCAGTAGTCGTGACAGGCGAGTCGGGGCTGGTGGTTGTGGGAGTGCCGGTAGTCGTGACAGGCGAGTCAGGGCTGGTGGTTGTGGGAGTGGCGGTAGTCGTGACAGGCGTGTCAGTGGTGGTGGTGGTTGTGGGAGTGGCAGTAGTCGTGACAGGCGAGTCAGTGCTGGTGGTTGTGGGAGTGGCGGTAGTCGTTACAGGCGAGTCAGGGCTGGTGGTTGTGGGAGTGGCAGTAGTCGTGACAGGCGAGTCGGGGCTGGTGGTTGTGGGAGTGCCGGTAGTCGTGACAGGCGAGTCAGGGCTGGTGGTTGTGGGAGTGGCGGTAGTCGTGACAGGCGTGTCAGTGGTGGTGGTGATTGTGGGAGTGGCGGTAGTCGTGACAGGCGAGTCAGTGGTGGTGGTGGTTGTGGGAGTGGCGGTAGTCGTGACTGGCGAGTCAGGGCTGGTGGTTGTGGGAGTGGTGGTGGTCATGACAGGCGAGTCAGGGCTGGTGGTTGTGGGAGTGGCTGTAGTCGTGACAGGCGTGTCAGTGGTGGTGGTTGTGGGAGTGGCAGTAGTCGTGACAGGCGAGTCGGGGCTGGTGGTTGTGGGAGTGGCGGTTGTCGTGACAGGCGAGTCAGTGCTGGTGGTTGTGGGAGTGGCAGTAGTCGTGACAGGCGAGTCGGGGCTGGTGGTTGTGGGAGTGGCGGTAGTCGTGACAGGCGAGTCAGGGCTGGTGGTTGTGGGAGTGGCTGTAGTCGTGACAGGCGAGTCGGGGCTGGTGGTTGTGGGAGTGGCAGTAGTCGTGACAGGCGTGTCAGTGGTGGTGGTTGTGGAAGTGGCAGTAGTCGTGACAGGCGAGTCGGGGCTGGTGGTTGTGGGAGTGGCGGTAGTCGTGACAGGCGAGTCAGTGCTGGTGGTTGTGGGAGTGGCAGTAGTCGTGACAGGCGAGTCGGGGCTGGTGGTTGTGGGAGTGCCGGTAGTCGTGACAGGCGAGTCAGGGCTGGTGGTTGTGGGAGTGGCGGTAGTCGTGACAGGCGTGTCAGTGGTGGTGGTGGTTGTGGGAGTGGCGGTAGTCGTGACAGGCGAGTCAGGGCTGGTGGTTGTGGGAGTGGCAGTAGTCGTGACAGGCGAGTCAGTGCTGGTGGTTGTGGGAGTGGCGGTAGTCGTTACAGGCGAGTCAGGGCTGGTGGTTGTGGGAGTGGCAGTAGTCGTGACAGGCGAGTCTGTGGTGGTGGTTGTTGTGGGAGTGGCGGTAGTCGTGACAGGCGAGTCAGTGCTGGTGGTTGTGGGAGTGGCGGTAGTCGTTACAGGCGAGTCAGGGCTGGTGGTTGTGGGAGTGGCAGTAGTCGTGACAGGCGAGTCGGGGCTGGTGGTTGTGGGAGTGGCTGTAGTCGTGACAGGCGAGTCGGGGCTGGTGGTTGTGGGAGTGGCGGTTGTCGTGACAGGCAAGTCAGTGCTGGTGGTTGTGGGAGTGGCAGTAGTCGTGACAGGCGAGTCGGGGCTGGTGGTTGTGGGAGTGCCGGTAGTCGTGACAGGAGAGTCAGGGCTGGTGGTTGTGGGAGTGGCGGTAGTCGTGACAGGCGAGTCAGTGGTGGTGGTGGTTGTGGGAGTGGCGGTAGTCGTGACTGGCGAGTCAGTGCTGGTGGTTGTGGGAGTGGCGGTAGTTGTTACAGGCGAGTCAGGGCTGGTGGTTGTGGGAGTGGCTGTAGTCGTGACAGGCGTGTCAGTGGTGGTGGTTGTGGGAGTGGCAGTAGTCGTGACAGGCGAGTCAGTGCTGGTGGTTGTGGGAGTGGCGGTAGTCGTTACAGGCGAGTCAGGGCTGGTGGTTGTGGGAGTGGCAGTAGTCGTGACAGGCGAGTCAGTGGTGGTGGTGGTTGTGGGAGTGGCGGTAGTCGTGACAGGCGAGTCAGTGCTGGTGGTTGTGGGAGTGGCGGTAGTCGTGACAGGCGAGTCAGGGCTGGTGGTTGTGGGAGTGGCATTAGTCGTGACAGGCGAGTCGGGGCTGGTTGTTGTGGGAGTGCCGGTAGTCGTGACAGGCGAGTCAGGGCTGGTGGTTGTGGGAGTGGCGGTAGTCGTGACAGGCGTGTCAGTGGTGCTGGTGGTTGTGGGAGTGGCAGTAGTCGTGACAGGCGAGTCGGGGCTGGTGGTTGTGGGAGTGCCGGTAGTCGTGACAGGCGAGTCAGGGCTGGTGGTTGTGGGAGTGGCGGTAGTCGTGACAGGCGTGTCAGTGGTGCTGGTGGTTGTGGGAGTGGCAGTAGTCGTGACAGGCGAGTCGGGGCTGGTGGTTGTGGGAGTGCCGGTAGTCGTGACAGGCGAGTCAGGGCTGGTGGTTGTGGGAGTGGCGGTAGTCGTGACAGGCGTGTCAGTGGTGGTGGTGGTTGTGGGAGTGGCGGTGGTCGTGACAGGCGAGTCAGGGCTGGTGATTATGGGAGTGGCGGTAGTCGTGACAGGCGAGTCAGTGGTGGTGGTGGTTGTGGGAGTGGCGGTAGTCGTGACTGGCGAGTCAGTGCTGGTGGTTGTGGGAGTGGCGGTAGTCGTTTCAGGCGAGTCAGGGCTGGTGGTTGTGGGAGTGGCTGTAGTCGTGACAGGCGTGTCAGTGGTGGTGGTTGTGGGAGTGGCAGTAGTCGTGACAGGCGAGTCAGTGCTGGTGGTTGTGGGAGTGGCGGTAGTCGTTACAGGCGAGTCGGGGCTGGTGGTTGTGGGAGTGGCAGTAGTCGTGACAGGCGAGTCAGTGGTGGTGGTGGTTGTGGGAGTGGCGGTAGTCGTGACAGGCGAGTCAGTGCTGGTGGTTGTGGGAGTGGCGGTAGTCGTGACAGGCGAGTCAGGGCTGGTGGTTGTGGGAGTGGCAGTAGTCGTGACAGGCGAGTCGGGGCTGGTTGTTGTGGGAGTGGCGGTAGTCGTGACAGGCGAGTCAGGGCTGGTGGTTGTGGGAGTGGCGGTAGTCGTGACAGGCGTGTCAGTGGTGCTGGTGGTTGTGGGAGTGGCAGTAGTCGTGACAGGCGAGTCAGGGCTGGTGGTTGTGGGAGTGCCGGTAGTCGTGACAGGCGAGTCAGGGCTGGTGGTTGTGGGAGTGGCGGTAGTCGTGACAGGCGTGTCAGTGGTGCTGGTGGTTGTGGGAGTGGCAGTAGTCGTGACAGGCGAGTCGGGGCTGGTGGTTGTGGGAGTGGCGGTAGTCGTGACAGGCGAGTCAGGGCTGGTGGTTGTGGGAGTGGCGGTAGTCGTGACAGGCGTGTCAGTGGTGGTGGTGGTTGTGGGAGTGGCGGTAGTCGTGACAGGCGAGTCAGGGCTGGTGATTATGGGAGTGGCGGTAGTCGTGACAGGCGAGTCAGTGGTGGTGGTGGTTGTGGGAGTGGCGGTAGTCGTGACTGGCGAGTCAGTGCTGGTGGTTGTGGGAGTGGCGGTAGTCGTTTCAGGCGAGTCAGGGCTGGTGGTTGTGGGAGTGGCTGTAGTCGTGACAGGCGTGTCAGTGGTGGTGGTTGTGGGAGTGGCAGTAGTCGTGACAGGCGAGTCGGGGCTGGTGGTTGTGGGAGTGCCGGTAGTCGTGACAGGCGAGTCAGGGCTGGTGGTTGTGGGAGTGGCTGTAGTCGTGACAGGCGAGTCGGGGCTGGTGGTTGTGGGAGTGGCGGTTGTCGTGACAGGCAAGTCAGTGCTGGTGGTTGTGGGAGTGGCAGTAGTCGTGACAGGCGAGTCGGGGCTGGTGGTTGTGGGAGTGCCGGTAGTCGTGACAGGCGTGTCAGTGGTGGTGGTGGTTGAGGGAGTGGCGGTAGTCGTGACAGGCGAGTCAGGGCTGGTGGCTGTGGGAGTGGCGGTAGTCGTGACTGGCGAGTCAGTGTTGGTGGTTGTGGGAGTGGCGGTAGTCGTGACAGGCGAGTCAGTGCTGGTGGTTGTGGGAGTGGCGGTAGTCGTGACAGGCGAGTCAGTGCTGTTGGTTGTGGGAGTGGCGGTAGTCGTGACAGGCGAGTCAGTGCTGGTGGTTGTGGGAGTGGCGGTAGTCGTGACTGGCGAGTCAGTGCTGGTGGTTGTGGGACTGGCGGTAGTCGTGACAGGCGAGTCAGTGCTGGTGGTTGTGGGAATGGCGGTAGTCGTGACTGGCGAGTCAGTGCTGGTGGTTGTGGGAGTGGCGGTAGTCGTGACAGGCGACTCAGTGCTGGTGGTTGTGGGAGTGGCGGTAGTCGTGACAGGCGAGTCGGTGCTGGTGGTTGTGGGAGTGTCGGTAGTTGTGACAGGCGTGTCAGTGGTGGTGGTGGTTGTGGGAGTGGCTGTAGTTGTGACAGGCGAGTCAGTGCTGGTGGTTGTGGGAGTGGCGGTAGTCGTGACAGGCGAGTCAGTGCTGGTGGTTGTGGGAGTGGCGGTAGTCGTGACAGGCGTGTCAGTGGTGGTGGTGGTTGTGGGAGTGGCGGTAGTCGTGACAGGCGACTCAGTGCTGGTCGTTGTGGGAGTGGCGGTAGTCGTGACAGGCGAGTCAGTGCTGGTGGTTGTGGGAGTGGCGGTAGTCGTGACAGGCGAGTCAGTGCTGGTGGTTGTGGGAGTGGCGGTAGTCATGACAGGCGAGTCAGTGCTGGTGGTTGTGGGAGTGGCGGTAGTCGTGACAGGCGAGTCAGTGCTGGTGGTTGTGGGAGTGGCGGTAGTCGTGACAGGCAAGTCAGGGCTGGTGGTTGTGGGAGTGGCTGTAGTCGTGGCCGGCGTGTCAGTGGTGGTGGTGGTGGAGGGAGTGGCCGTAGTCGTTATTGGCGATTCAGTTGTGACAGTTCTGGGAGTGACGGTAGTTGTGGTCATTGAGGTGATTGTGGGAGTGTTAGTAATCGTAGTTGGAGAGCAGGTGGTTGTTGGTGTGGTTGTTGGTGTGGTGGCAGTCGTGACCGGCGATGCGGTGGTGGTGACTGTGATAGCTGTGGTAGTCGTGACAGGCAAGGCCTTAGTTGTTGTTATGGGACTGTTGGTAGTCGTCAACTGCAAGGTCGTGGCGGTGTTCTCCTTTGTGGTTGCTGCGGTCGTCTCCTTCGTGGTGGCAGCGTTCTCCTTTGTGGTGGCGGTTGCTGAAGTGGCGGGAGTTGTGGCCAGTGAGGTCATAGTATTGGTGTCTTCTCTGGTTTTGGTTGTTGTGGGAATGGAGGTAGGCCCAGCTGGCAAGCTGTTAGTCGTGGTCACTTCTGTGGTGGTGTTGGGAGATCCGCTTGTTTCTTTTGGAGCACCCCTTTCCTCTACGTTTCCCATCCTTTTTTCGATGTTGAGAAAGTTATTCCCACTTTTGGTGGTTTTTTGGGTTGTGAGCTGAATCCTGCCTGGTCTTTCTGTTGTATCCATTTCACCTCTTTCTTCTTCATTCCCTTTTACTCTCCAGCTAACATCTACAAGATAGAAGATGGGCGTAGAGTTAATTCATAATTTCTGTGTGTCAATCTCAGTTATGATTGAGCGGCATTCAAAATGCTATTGCCCCATAGATTTCTACAAAGCCGATATGATACCAGCGATTTTGTTTTCAATTCCTTTCCTAATGACCCCTCCTGTGGAATTTGCATTTTTTTCAAAGCTTCACTGAGTTGTTTAGTATGACCTCAAGGCCTGGTCCCAGTTCATACCTTCTGAGTGTATACAAGCACTGACCCACTTGTTAGCAATCGGCAACTCTATGATTCTATCATTCTATGGCTCACTCTATCTTCCTTTAAATTGAATTACATTTTGCCATTTAACACCCGTTAACTCAGTTTGCAGATGGCTATGGGAATCATGCAACATATTTTTCTTTTTCTTCTTTGTTTGCTACTGCTAGAATTAGTGGGGATTTGTCAGGATAGAAGAATTTGCTAGGGAGTGTTTCAATTTGATGCTATTTGTCATAGGAGCCAACTCCTAGGGACCGTCAGGGCCTTGGTCCCCACAATAAAATATTTGAGGGGACTGGACTCCCCCCAAGTTGATGGGTAAAGTAAAGGTAAAGGGACCCCTGACCATTAGGTCCAGTCGTGGCCGACTCTGGGGTTGCGGCGCTCATCTCGCTTTACTGGCCGAGGGAGCCGGCGTACAGCTTCCGGGTCATGTGGCCAGCATGACTAAGCCGCTTCTGGCGAACCAGAGCAGCGCACAGAAACGCCGTTTACCTTCCCGCCTGAGTGGTACCTAATTATCTACTTGCACTTTGACGTGCTTTCGAACTGCTAGGTTGGCAGGAGTTGGGACCGAGCAACGGGAGCTCACCCCGTCGCGGGGATTCAAACTATTTTTGGAAGTTGAAAGTCTGACGGGGCTTCTGTGGCTTCTGATTGCTTCCTGCAGCCAATCAGAAGCTGCACACTGGTTTCCTAATATTTTGTCATCTAATAAATTTTATTGGAAATTTTATTTACAACATAACACAACCTCCCCCAGCACAGAAATCCACCCCCATCAGACACAAACATAACAAACAACAAGCATAATTTACAACAATACAAACAACCAAATAAAAGACTTCCTTTATCCTGTTTCTGGCATCCTTAGTTACTTCTTATAAGCAGTTTCCTTTATGAATAATTATTAAGATTTTTCTAATTATAACTTAAATATCCACAAAGTCTCCTGCAGACATTAATCGAAACAAGTCCAGGTATGAATTTTAGGGCACTGTTTTGTGAAGTATTCTCTGCATTTCCTCCATGCTTTTTGAAACTCTTGTCTAGTGTGTTCTCTAATTGCCTCTGTTAATCTAGCCAGTTCAATATACTCTAACAGTTTGTCTTGCCATTTCATTTTTGTTGGCACAATTTCTTTTTTCCAGTTTTTAGCAATTAGGATCCTTGCCGCTCCTGTAGCATAGAGGAATATTTTCTGATCTTCTCTTGCTATACCTGCGTCTGTTATCCCTAGTAGAAAAGCTTCTGTACTTTTTATAAAGTTATACTTAAACATTTTTTAAGCTCGTCATATACTATGTTCCAGAAGTCAAACGGTCTTCTGGAATTGATTCCGTTCGACTTCCAAGGTACGACTGTATTTTATTCAAGTTGGTACCCCTGCTTTGTGTTGGATATAAAAATAATCAGAACACATTGAAGGAATGGTACCCAGCGCTATAACTAGTACAGTTGTACCTTGGTTGTTGAACTTAATCCGTTCCAAAAGTCCGTTCGACTCCCGAAACCATTTGAAAACCAAGGTGCGGTTTCCTATTGGCTGCAGGAGCTTCCTGCACTCAAGGGGAAGCCGCGTCAGACATTCAGTGTTGGAACGAATTCACAACAGACGAGTGGCAGGTGTCATATGAGAGGCGTCTGCTGGGGCGAGCCCCGGGAACTCTCTTTTATTGAATATTACAAACATTGCCACAGGTGTGCTTGTGGCTGATTGGTTGATACAAACACAAAGCAACTTGTTGCTGATTGGTTAACATAGGTACAAGGCGGGAATTACATATAACATTAATCACCGATAGATTAAAGGCTGGGAAACGGAGCTGGAACTAGGCAGGCATAAAACCTCCTAATTAAATTATAACTAAAGATTGATATAGCATGACTAAAACAATTACTAATGATTGATCATAACATGAAAGAATATAATAATCGAGTTCCGTAGATGTGGTCAGCTGTGCATTAAGAACAGATCATATTGTTTGTTCATGAACTTAAAATGAACTGAGGAATGAGGGAATGTCTTGGTGTGTTTAGAACAGGTTTGTACAGTGTGTGCAGAAGCAGAGAAAAGATTATAAGCGAGACTTCCCAGAATGCAAGAGAAAAGAAGCAATAGTTCCCATAGCAAGACTTCCCATAATGCCACAGTTATGTGCAGAAAGAGAACTTCCCTTTAATTCAGCTTCTGGAAAACGTTCGCAAACAGGAACACTTGCTTCCGGATTTGCGGCGTTCGGCAGCCAATTTGTTTGGGAGCTAAACCGCTCAGGAACCAAGGTACCACTGTACTGTTCAGGGTTACCGACTTGAATAAAATATTGGCAGGGCCCAGGTAAGACCTGCCCCACATGATCAATCACATGATGTCTTGCAGGCACACCATTTGAATGGCAATGGCCATCAACTTTGGGAGCCCCCGGCCCCCTCAAATATTTTATGGGTGGGGGCTGAAGGGACCTTGGTCCCTAGGAGTTCTGGTACTGTTACACAGCACCCCAGTCTCTGAGCGGAATGAGGCACAGCGGAGACTGTGGTGTCTTTATGATATATGGGTTTTTTAAAACACATATCTCCAGCCTGATGGAAGGCTTCACAGCATCAAGACCCTAAAAGGGTCTTGTTTCTCCCATAACCTCAGCCCTGGTTTCCAGCAGAAATCGGCTTCTGGCTTACATAACTCAACTCATCTGTGGCGTTATCTGTTGAGGGAGTGGCCCCCCTCATCTGCTGACTCACACAGAGCTTATTTCGTCCTCCTCAAGAAGCTAGTTTTGCTTTATTAACTTTTAACACTTCCTGGATCCAGGGATTAGAAGGATCTGGAACCCAGATCTAGGGAACAGTGGAGTCCGGCACGCAGCTTGACACCCCCAGCTCATAACACTTCTGCCACTGCTGCTTCTCCCGCCTGGACCAAGGAAAGCCAGCTATGTGCCGCTGGTCCTGAATGTGGAGATACGGTTTTTAAAGACACAATAACCCTGTTCTGCCCAGTTCCAGCCCTAATGCTGAAGCTGATTCTGCCATCTTGTACCAGCTTACCTGGGAGCAAGCCCCATGAAACTCAAATAAACATACTGTATTTTTTTGCTCTATAAGACGCACTTTTCCCCTCCTAAAAAGTAAGGGGAAATGTGTGTGCGTCTTATGGGGCGAATGCAGGCGGGAGGCTCTGCTCAGCGCTCCCTTTAAAGAGCCGTGTGGAGGGTGTGGGCGGCTCTTGGGGGCTTTTTCCCGAGGAGGGAGAAGGGCAGCCCATCAGTCCCTTCTCCCTCCTCGGGGAAAAGCCCCCAAGAGCCGCAAACACGCTCCACGTGCTCTTTAAAGGGAGCGAGGCTCTTGGGGGAGCCTTCCTCCCGCTGCCAGGCGATCCCGCTTGCTGTCCTGGCTTCTGGCTTAGCCACGCAAAGCCTCTTGAGGGCAGGGGGTGTCTTCATCCCACTGCCCTGAAGAGGCTTCGCGCGGCTATCCCAGAAGCCAGAACAGCAAGAGGCTATCCCAGAAGCCAGATCCCTCTTGCTGTTCTGGCTTCTGGGATTCAGAATATTTTTTTTCTTGTTTTCCTCCTCCAAAAACTAGGCGCGTCTTATGATCTTATAGAGCAAAAAATACGATAATTCTGAATTAACCAAGTATACCAGTGTACAGTAAGTTCAGTGATTCTTAAGGAGTGGGAGCCCTGCAATTGTTGTGTTGGGGTGGGGCAACTTCCCTTGGGTGCCCCTCTTTCATCACAGGCCAAACTATGGAAATTGCAAGGACTGCTTGGAAATAAGGCAGAAATGGGAAAGTGTACTAAAGGGGAGGGAGAAAAGCAGCTCTTTGGGTCACCACAGATTCCTAATGCCCAGTGTCCAAGCAACTCAGCTATCAATCATAGATCCGACTTCACTCATTTGCTAAAAACAGGGAAAAACAGCCACCACACACAGAAGCATAAATACAATCATATTGTATTGGTCCAGTGCCGAGGGCCTTCTGGTGGTTCCCTCACTATGAGAAGCCAAGTTACAGGGAACCAGGCAGAGGGCCTTCTCGGTAGTGGCGCCCGCCCTGTGGAACGCCCTCCCATCAGATGTCAAAGAGAAAAACAACTACAGTGGTACCTCAGGTTACAGACACTTCAGGTTACAGACTCCGCTAACCCAGAAATAGTACCTTGGGTTAAGAACTTTGCTTCAGGATGAGAAGAGAAATCGTGCAGTGGTGGCGCGGTGGCAGCAGGAGGCCCCATTAGCTAAAGTGGTACCTCAGGTTAAGAACAATTTCAGGTTAAGAACGGACCTCCAAAAAGAATTAAGTTCTTAACCCGAGGTACCACTGTACCAGATTTTTAGAAGACATCTGAAGGCAGCCCTGTTTAGGGAAGCTCTTAATGTTTAATGGACTATTGTATTTTAATATTCTGGAAGCCACCCAGAGTGGCTGGGGAAACCCAGCCAGATGGACGGGGTATAAATAATATATTATTATTATTATTATTATTATTATTATTATTATTATTATTATCATCATCATCATTATTAGGCTATGGTTTCTTGCTAAGAAAAACCAGGTCAAATAGAGGGGAAGTTCAAGTACGAACAAATGAAAGCGACTTTATCTGTTAGGTGTTTAGCAAAGGCACAGGTGTGGCTCCTCACCACCATCTTTTTAATATTCTGACTATGGTTTAAAAATAAATTTAAAAAAATCTCAGGATATCAACATATAGAGCAAAATGCCATGAAACAACCAAGCACAAAATCACCCAGCACATCTTCCTTCCATCAAGGGCATTTTGAACCAATCTCAGGGCTCATACAGAAAACCTGAATGCCGTTTGCTCTGATTCAATAGTAAAATGCTGGTTTTATCGGGGAAAGTGCCGGGACAAATAAAATAAACAAACCACTACAACATGGGTTTTAAAGCACAGATCTGTGCCTAGTAACATGTCTCAAAAGGAAGTCCTGATGAGCCCTCACTGTCCAATCCATATTATTACAACAAGTCTCTCCAAAGCCCTCCATGAGTTTGTTTAAAACCTGAAACAACTTAAAAGTTAAATGTGATTAAATAGAAATTTGGTGCTTCTGGGCAGGATAAATAAAACAGCTGTATATAAATCACTGTTTATGACTGATGTATATTGCAAATAAACACACAGAGAGAATAGCCTCCATTTGATTATTATTTAACAATGAGTGCCTGGCTGACTCTTCAGCTTCCAAAGTCACAAAAAGCAACAGAAGACTCACTACATGCCTTGAGCCTCCAGCCTTTATTTTAGGCAGACCCAGAAGCCTTGAAGGTGGCTCAGTAAGAACAGAGGCGCCTGTCTAGCCAGAAGCATTGTTCTCTGAGATAAGGGCCGTAGCTGAGCTTATTCTATCAAACAATGGCCCTCTAGATTAAACAATTGGCCCTCCAGATGTTAATGGACTCCCCTTTGCCCCAGCCAGGATGGTGAATGCTCAGAGATGGTGGAAGATGGAGCCCCACAAGATATGGAGGAGCATAGGTTCTCCAGATCTGCTGGCAAACATGAGACATTGGAAGCCTTCCCCATCAAACCGTTGTTAGTGACCTGGGATGGTTGTGATGATATACAGTCGTACCTTGTCTCTCGAACAAATTGGCTCCCAAACAAATTGGCTCCCAAAACGATCGAAATCCAGATGTGAGGGTTCCGGTTTTCGAACGTTCTTTTGGAAGCTGCGCTTCGGTTTCTGGACATTTTGGAGGTCCAACGGACTTCCGGAACGGATTCTGTTCGACTTCCAAGGTACGACTTGGCAAAGGAAAGTCATTGTGCACATACTCAAAGGCACATCCTTCTTCATTATTGCTTCATAGCTGTCTCAAAATCCTGGGGCTGCCCCCCATTTCCCACAACACAACCTTCTCCTCACCCTAGGCCGCCACTCACCTGCCTCCGCAACGGAGCTGGCGCAACAGGTTGCCAGGAGCAACACCCAAACTCCCTTCATCTTCTGCTGCACCTTGCTATGTGAGAGAGGTCCTCTGTTTTAGGCCTCAAGATTTTGAAGAGGCTGCCAATCACAGGAGCGAGACTGTGGCTCTGGGGCTCCAGCAGACCAAGTGGTGCTGTCAACTTTTGTGTAAAGGATATGTACCCAGCCCAGTAGACCTCTGACCTCCCAGGCACAAGGCATCATTCCTACTCACTTAAACGAAGAAAACAGAGCCAGCATTCCATTGGAACAGAATTAGTACTAGCAAATAAAAAATTATTGGGTTGTATAATTTGCTCGCAGTTAGCAGAGAACAAGGACGGTGGACTCTCTGGCATAATAAAAAATGATGATGGTTCAACAACCCTACCCTCTCCAGGTAGAGTTGATTCTTCTTGCGTAATACAACACTTGATTACCTGAGAATGTCTGGCTTTGTGGACCAAAAGCCGTACCGGGGGTGGCTCATCCCATTTCGCAGTTAGAGCTAAAACTCTTGGCAAAGCTAACAGACAAACTGCGAGGGAAAAGACAATAGTGACTTTGAAAAAGAACCTTTTACATCATATCTGCAGAAACAACAAAAAAAACACCAGAGTCATTGGCAGGATTTAAATAAATGTTGCACAAAACAGGAAACTTAATAGTATGACAATATGGAAGTATATATAAACAGCAGAATATAATATGAGATGTAATAAACCAGGGACGTAAGTTGAGGGAAGTCAGCGGGGAAGGGGGAAATTGAAATCTGAATGTAATGTAATGATTATAGATATTGGGGTTTTTTAAAAAAAACCCCAATAAAAATGATTAAAAAATGATTAAAATAAATAAATAAAATAAAACAGCAGGTGCGGCCCCACCCTGCCACCGCAACTCTTCCAACATTTCCCCAATGAAAATAGAGACGTCTCATTCCATAAGGCTAATTTTACTATTTATACTCCACACATCTAACTGGGATGTCCAAGCCACTCTGGGGGGTTTCTAATATAAAAAAAACCCAGAATACAACATTGAACATTGAGAAAACAAACATCCCTATACAGGATTGCCTTCAGATGGCTCGGGGGTCAGATAACTCTATACCCTCCAACCTATCTCTGATGAAAATAGGAACATCCCAAGAAAAAGCGGGACATTCTGGGATCAGATCAGAAACCGGGACGGCTTCTCTAAATCAGGGACATCCCTGGAAAATAGGGACTGCAACCTGCACCACTTGCCGTGCCACCTTCACCGCCGGCAGAGAAGTAGCAGTGCCATGAGCACCAGTTTTGGGCGAGAGCTGGAGCACACCACAAGATCTTGTGTGATTAGGGTAAGATCTCACCTGAAATCAACACGGAGGACAGTGGCGGAGGTGGCAGGGTGGCTGTGGGGCCACTGCCCAAGGGGCTCCCCCTTCACCCCACCTAATGCCTGGGCCAGGGTGAAGCGCTTGCCTCAGGTGCCAGAAGTGCAAGAACTGGCAATCTGCCCACTCCACTGTTCCCACCGCCGCAAGGGACATGCCTGTATCATCATTGTTAAGTTGTGGGTGAACATATCAGACGACACAGCGATTCTTCCAAAGCAGCTCTTTATTTGTAAGCTGGAACAGAACCGAACTGAGGAGCTCAGTCAGCCTGCTTATATAGAGCTCCAGAACAATCGCAACTGTTGCAACTTTCTAAAACTATCCAATCACTGAACGTCACTTTCGATCCTTCATTTGCATAACTATCTACAGTATCCCCCTGCTGGCCCAGGGTAAAAACTTCAGTACATAACAATCATCATCAAACCTTTTATTGGCATCACATGCAAACATCCAAAACAAATCAGTACAGAATCACCACTTCCCCAGTGGCACAAAACATTTGCTAAAAGAAAGGAGGCAGAGCAGTCTTATCGTCACATCTCTTGGTCTCCAGGGAGATCAGACGTCGGCAGTGTATTTCAACGACAAAAAACCAAACAGAGATATTTAGCCACTAACTTGATGAGCTCCTGATCATTCCCCAGTAATAGAAAATGTATGACCTCCGACTCTGGTTTCCATTTGGGGATGCAGAGTTGATCTAGAAATTGCTGACGGAGATCAGCATATAGTTTACAACTGAGAACCATATGTGTAAGGGTTTCCACCAGGTGGTCTTCACATGGGCAAGTTCTTTCTCCTTCCACCCTGCATGAGAACCTTCCCCAAAGGAGGTTGGATGGATTTGAATTAAACCTGGCCAGCGAAAATGCCCTTCTTTCTTGAGTAGCAGAAATTCAAGGTAATTGTGGTTAATTTCATGTGCCCAAGAAAGTTGAAAATAAAGAGCGGAGCATGTTTTCTCTGCTGCTACTGTTAGTTCCTTGCGTTCAATATCCCACAACCTAGTTTTTATTATAGCCTTGGCAGATGGTAGGGACATCGATCGCAAAAGTTCCACCAACAGCCCAAGTTGCTGTACCTTCTTGTTAAACTCTGGAGCAGATCATTAAGCAAACAGTCTGTGAGCACCTAGAAAGGAATGCTGTGATCACCAATAGTCAGCATGGATTTCTGAAAAATAAGTCATGTCAGACTAACCTGATCTCGTTTTTCGACAGAATTACAAGCCTGGTAGATGAAGGGAACGCAGTGGATGTAGCCTACCTTGATTTCAGCAAGGCATTTGACAAGGTGCCTCATGATATTCTTGTAAAGAAGCTGGTAAAATGCGGTCTTGACTATGCTACCATTCAGTGGATTTGTAACTGGCTGACTGACCGAACCCAAAGGGTGCTCATCAATGGTTCCTCTTCATCCTGGAGAAGAGTGACTAGTGGGGTGCCACTGGGTTCTGTCTTGGGCCCGGTCTTATTCAACATCTTTATCAACGACTTGGATGATGGACTCAAGGGTATCCTGATCAAATTTGCAGATGACACCAAACTGGGAGGGGTGGCTAACACCCCAGAGGACAGGATCACACTTCAAAACGACCTTGACAGATTAGAGAACTGGGCCAAAGCAAACAAGATGAATTTTAACAAGGAGAAATTTAAAGTATTGCACTTGGGCAAAAAAAATGAGAGGCACAAATACAAGATGGGTGACACCTGGCTTGAGAGCAGTACATGTGAAAAGGATCTAGGAGTCTTGGTTGACCACAAACTTGACATGAGCCAACAGTGTGACACGGCAGCTAAAAAGCCAATGCAATTCTGGGCTGCATCAATAGGAGTATAGCATCTAGATCAAGGGAAGTAATAGTGCCACTGTATTCTGCTCTGGTCAGACCTCACCTGGAGTACTGTGTCCAGTTCTGGGCACCACAGTTCAAGAAGGACACTGACAAACTGGAACGTGTCCAGAGGAGGGCAACCAAAATGGTCAAAGGCCTGGAAATGATGCCTTATGAGGAACGGCTAAGGGAGCTGGGCATGTTTAGCCTGGAGAAGAGGAGGTTAAGGGGTGATATGATAGCCATGTTCAAATATATAAAATGATGTCACATAGAGGAGGGAGAAAGGTTGTTTTCTGCTGCTCCAGAGAAGCGGACACGGAGCAATGGATCCAAACTACAAGAAAGAAGATTCCACCTAAACATTAGGAAGAACTTCCTGACAGTAAGATCTGTTTGACAGTGGAATTTGCTGCCAAGGAGTGTGGTGGAGTCTCCTTCTTTGGAGGTCTTTAAGCAGAGACTTGACAACCATATGTCAGGAGTGCTCTGATGGTGTTTCCTGCTTGGCAGGGGGTTGGACTCGATGGCCCTTGTGGTCTCTTCCAACTCTATGATTCTATGATTCTATGAAACTGTTGTAGCCCTGGGGAAAGAAAGGGGTCTAACAAAACTTCACTGAGGAGAGGATCTTTATCTGTTGTAAGGCAGATGTTTAACCAGCATAGGAGAAATCTCACCCAGGCGATAATCTCTACCTTGTGTTGACCTCCATCTTGGCACAAGACTGCCTAGGGTACACAGTGGGGGACAGTAAAAATCTTGAAGAGGAAAGCTGCCTTTTTTTCAAGATGGTGTCGTTAGAGGAAGCATCGATTTGAACGCCCCGTCAGTTGTGTGGTTTTTATTAGTTTTTATTAGCTTTTATCAGTTCTAGTATTTTATTGCTCGGTATCTTTTTCTTAATTACTATAAATTTAAGCTAAAAGTTTTAGAGAACGCCCTGGAAAGTCTCGGAGAAAGCCTTAATTAGCTCCAGCTCGACTCAATCTACCAACTACTTATTAGCAGGAGAGGAGATAAAACGCCCTAATCTTGTGTTGTAAACGAAATCTGCCCTTTTTCCCTTATGGTGTATCCTAGAGCCCATATAGAATCCTTACGTGGGTTCCCTATTGGTAGGAGAAAATAACAAAGGCCAACCAGAGAATATTGAGAAGCAAAGCAGCTAGTAAGCCTGATCTTTATGGATCTGTTGCAACAGGGTGCTCCCCTCACAAGCAGGAAAGGAGGAGGACCCAGAACCAAGGTGAGCCTGCCCTTATATAAACATTTTAAATTCCCTGCCCTGGAGCTCAAGACCACCCCTCCATACATCATACATACATCACAGAAGGAGTTTAACCCAAGACCACCCCCCACAAACATTATACCTACATCACAGAAAAGGTGGTCTACAACAGAAATTTGAATGTTGTTGCTTTTCCTGTCTATCAGGTTATCTGATAATGCCTTATCTGATTGCCTTTCCTGGTAATTTGTCACCCTTTGAGATGGTGATTTCCCAATTCCTGAGGCAATGGGAAGGTTCCCTGACCCCCTCCCTCCTCGCAGACAAAACATTTGGTCAGTTGGGGAGTCAAAATGGTTTCAGGTCGGGCTTCCTGTGCTGATCTATGTACGTGCTTGGTTGGTACATTTATGAACATTTATTATTATATATAAGACCTTAAATTTTATTATTACAATTGGAAGGACGCTGGGTTTCCTGATTTACAGCAGAAAATAGTAGCAGCTGTTGGTTGTACACCGGGGTGGCCAACTCCCAAGAAACTGTGGTCTACGCACAGAGTTAAAAACTGGCAGTGATCTACCCCCTTTTGGGGGGTTCAGGTCAAAGTTGAGTTCTTTTTTAAGGAATGAAAGCCCTATTTTGGGGGAGGATGGGATGGCCCATTTTTTAGGGGTTCAGGTCAAAGTTTTTTTTAGGGAGGAGGAAAGCCCCATTTTGGGGGGATGCAAGGCAATAATGTTGAGCTTTTTAAAGGGGAGACAAAGTTGTTGAGCTTCTTTGGGTGGAGCCAGTGATCTACCAGTGATCTACCACAGACATCCAGTGATCTACCAGTAGATCACGATCTACCTGTTGGACATGCCTGTTGTACACCATCAAGGACGATTTAGAGAAAGAGAAAGAGAACTTAATTGAAGGGTGGCCCCAGGATGACTAAGGTGGAGGTGGAGAGGTCTGGATTTTAATGCAGCCTTCCAGGACTCTATTTGCAGACCCAACAAGGGTCCCTATTTTCCAGGGACAGTCCCAGATTTATAGAAGCCATCCCAGTTTCTGATTTGATTCTCGAAAGTCCTGCTTTTCCTTAGGACATCCCTGTTTTTGTTGGAGAAATGTTGGAGTGTATGGAGTTATCCAACCCACCCTCCCTGAGCCAAGGAGAGAAGTAACTATACAACCTTTAGAAGACTTCTGGAAGCAGCCTCGTAAGGGGATTTTAAAAAAAAGTTTAATGTTTTATTATGTTTTTATATACGTTGGAAGCTGCCCAGAGTGGCTCGGGCAACCCAGCCAGATGGGCAGGCTACAAACAATGCTCTTTTTCTAGAAAAGAGGTGCCAGAACTCACCTTGAACACCTCACTTGTTCTCTTATACAGTCGTACCTTGGAAGTCAAACGGAATCCATTCTGGAAGTCCATTTGGCTTCCAAAATGTTTGGAAACCAACGAACGTCTTCTGATTGGCAGCAGGAAGTTGGAATGGCTTCTGTAAATCTGGGACTGTCCCTGGAAAATAGGGACGCTTAGAGGGTATGATTCCTGGGAAGATCCATAATATGGAGGCTGCTGCCAAGAAGTGCCAGGTCACACCGCCACCTCGAAGGACCACAGAGGATGGCACTGCCAACAGTGCCTCCCCAGCTGATTTTAGAAGCATTTTTGTTAGGGATTGTAGGACAAGACCTGCCAAGGGAAATGAAGAATTTATTTATGTATGCAACAACAGCGGCAAGAGTCTTGATAGCACAAGGATGGAAGAATGAGGAAATCCCGACGAAAGAACAATGGCAAGAGAAATTGATGAACTATGCAGAAATGGCTAAATTGACAAACAGACTTTAAAGAAGAATGAAAACATTTTACGTACAGTGGTACCTCTGGGTGCGAACAGGATCCGTTCCGGAGCCCCGTTTGCATCCGGAGCAGAACGCAACCTGCGTCTGCAGTGCACATGCCGCAATTTGCTGCTTCTGCGCATGCGCGCGACGTCATTTTGAGCGTCTGCGCATGTGCGAGCTGCGAAACCTGGAAGTAACCAATTCCGTTACTTCCGGGTCGCCGCAGGACGCAACCTGAAAACGCTCAACCTGAAGTGAATTTAACCCGAGGTATGACTGTATTACTTAAAAAGACAACAAAATGAATCAGACTCCTTGGCAGGTTTTGAATAAACATCCACAAATCTATTGATTGTTAATGTAGTAGATAGGTAATATAAGGATTTATACAATTTTACAGTATGCAGAGAACAATATTTAGTTGAGAGATCAGAGAGAGGAGCTGAGGGAAGTCTTGTTGGGGGAGGGAGGGAGGGTTTGATGGGGGGAAATAGGGGGGAAATGATGAATATGAGATGTTTTTGTTATGTACTGAAGTTCTCACCCTGGGCCAGCAAGGAGATACTGTAGATAGTTTTCACTCAGGTCCACATATGCAAATAAGGGATTGAAAGTGACGTTCAGTGATTGGATAGTTACAGAAATTGGTTACAGTTGCGTTGTACTGGAGCTCTATATAAGCAGGCTGGCTGAACCCTTCAGTTCAGTTCTGTTCTGGCCTGTGAATAAACAAGAGCTGTTTGAAGAATCGCTGTGCCGTCTGATATGTTCACCCACAACTTAACAGTTTTGATACGTTGTTATGTTGAAATTGTTAATTAAAAAAAAACACCAGTGCCTCCTCAGCTGATTTCAACAGGCAGGGAGATCTGCCCAGGAGGATGGGGTCTTCTAAGTAACTGGTGGCCAAATTTATCGAGACTTCTTTATCTAGACATCTTGAATTGGGCTCAGAGGTTGATTGGCAACCAGTACATGTCATCACAAGTGGAGTGATATGTGATATGAAGCGCACCGGGTGCAATTTATGTGCCGTCGTCAGGAGCAACGGCATATACGATGTATGGCAACAACAACTGATTCCAGAGGTTACAATGGTAAGCAGGTATGTTTTTGCTTATGGACAGAAGAAGAAAAAGCACAGCACTCTGAGAGCAAAGTTTATGGTGCAATATAAATACTTTAATTGCTTACAGAATCTGAAAACAAAACACCTTGAGAAACATAATCTCTATTCAGAACTTAAAACACACACGCACACATACAAAAACCACCAGCAGCATTAAATCATTTTCTGCCACGTCTGGAAAATCCCCTGAAATTTGGTGTGCATGGGAAAGGAATGCCCGTTTTAGGGGCCGCAGCTTGGAGGCAGAAAGGAGGAAAAGTCCGTCCCCCCCAAGTATCCTATTAGCCCTATTGCACGCTTCTCGTCCAAGAAATGACACTTTATCATAAATACAAGCATTTCTAAGGCATTCATCCATACAACCACCCTGTGTAGCATTCTATTTAAAAAACATTTATAACAAAATAATAGCGAGGTAAAAGCTGTGGCGGTGTGGACGCAGGTGGCGCTGTGGGTTAAACCACAGAGCCTAGGACTTGCCGATCATAAGGTTGGCGGTTCGAATCCCCGCGACGGGGTGAGCTCCCATTGCTCTGTCCCTGCTCCTGCCAACCTAGCAGTTCCAAAGCACACCAAAGTGCAAGTAGATAAATAGGGAAGGTAAATGGCGTTTCCGTGCGCTGCTCTGGTTCTCCAGAAGCGGCTTAGTCATGCTGGCCACAGGACCCGGAAGCTGTACGCCGGCTCCCTCGGCCAATAAAGCGAGATGAGCACCGCAACCCCAGAGTTGGCCACGACTGGATCTAATGGTCAGGGGTCCCTTTACCTTTACCTAAAAGCTGTTACTTGGCAGACCAAAACTATGGCTAAAGTGCTATAATGCTTGGCACACACAATGATAGAACACCCTCCATCTGTCACATTCCTTGTCCTTTTTCTCTCCTTTTATTTGCCAAAGAAAGATCTGATTTTGGTGGCGGCTATTTAATCTTTCCAAAATGCCCCACATGGTGTATTGATCCATGTGGCTTTCTGAAAAACTGCCTTTTCACCCCCACACGCCTGGTACACAGTTAACTCCCCAACAAAAGGAATTTGAATGTCACGCACACACGATTTGCCATGCTTTTAAATTCTTTTCTTTTGTAAAATGCATGTGCTGCTTAATTGCAAAGAGAATCTCTCGTTTTACGAAAAAATAAACCAAATATTAAAGGTAACAATAAAAGGCAGAGTTAAAAACAGGAAATCAAAACCCCCCAAAAAAGATTAATATTATAAATTAAAATCAGTTCCAGAGTGAGGTATTGATGGTGATATATTAGATTTGAATCTATGGGTTGTCTGTGCAAACTTAGAAGTCCTGGACAACCGTGTGTATTGGAAGAAGTCGTCGATAGTGTTTGCACCGCCATTCAACGAAGCCTGGGAAAATCAACACGTAGGGTGAGTCGCGTTTGGGCAGAAATGGATTACTGGTTCGATGTGTGTCATGTGACAAAGGGTGTACACAAAGAACATCTGTGACTGTTTCTAAAAAAACTTTCAACATTCCCCTACAATTCTGTTACAGGTGACGTAAGATATATTCTTCTTTTTTTATAGCACGTTGAAACTGTATCGTTATGAATCACCCTGCATTTTTTTAAAAATGGCAAATTAGGAGGGGTGTATTGGGGGCACACACAAAAATGGGTTGACCACACCTGGATGTAATTTAAAGATGAGGACTCCAACATATATTGCTTAGGGATATCGAATGAACCACTCCATGGTGTTTCCTTCCCTCCATGGATTGTAGCACAGTTTATGGATTCTTTTTTGTGCAGTCATGTGTACTCTTTGTTGGTTCCTCTACGGATCTGTTTTCAACAGAGTGGTCTTCTTCATAATAGGCTGAGAGTCTCATCCAGGAAACAGTTTCAGAAGAATTTTTTAAAGCTGGCATGCTGAACTCCACTGCCACCCATCAGACCCGCCTTTCTGTTAGTGGGCTTCCAGTTGCGATCCGTTGGGTGTTAAGTTTCTTCATTCACCTCAGCTCCTGGAGGGAACTATCCGAAACGAGTCCCAGGGTGGGAATCAACACTGGGTTGTTATCTCTGGCTTCTGGAACTGCAGCTGCAAAGAGAAGTATAAAGTGTTATGTACTGAAGTTCTCACCCTGGGCCAGCAGGGGGATACTGTAGATAGTTATGCAAATAAGGGATCGAAAGTGACGTTCAGTGATTGGATAGTTTTAGAAAGTTCTTACAGTAACGTTGTACTGGAGCTCTATATAAGCAGGCTGACTGAACCCTTCAGTTCAGTTCTGTCCCGGCCTGTGAATAAACAAGAGCTGTTTGAAGAATCGCTGTGTCGTCTGATATGTTCACCCACAACTTAACATAAAGTGTGTTGTGAGGTCCATGAAAAAGCAGAGCTCATTTGAAACCAGAAGAAACGCGAAACTCTGCTTCTTCCTGACTTCGAAAGTAGCTGCATATTTAACAGAGTGAATATTGCCTGTGATCGTTGCAAAATATCAGAGGCAGAATAAAATTGCCACAACTGCTGAATGAGAATCAAAGTTGTATGAGTTTGCCACGACGGCAAGCTTATTGCTTATGTAAGGGGTACAGGATATGCATGACAAAGCTATACACATTTAGGATACTTTTATCAATTTTTGGCATGCATACAGTTTATGAAATTTTATAAATTATGATTTTGGATCTGTGGAATCAACAGAGCTTGTTAACAAAGGAGATGTGCAAAAAACAAATTGGTGTTTGGAATTGTCGTTTTAAATTTATTTATTTTTATAGAAAAAACGAAACCTAATCGCTTGCGTATTTGCATCACACAGCTAAGTCTGAACTGAAATATCCTCCCTTTTTACTGCCACATTTGCTAATTAATATGGAGAAGGGGCTCAGCAATTTTAAGGGAGGGGTGACAAGACCGTTGTCTTGCTTCAGTAATGGACTGGATGAGAGCCAACAAACTGAAGCTCAATCCAGATAGGACTGAGGCACTGTCAGTGGGCGATTCCCTTGACCAGATGGACGGGAGGTTGCCTTCTCCCTCTGAAGGAGCAGATAAGATAGCTTGGGTGGTCCTCCTGGAACCTTTGCTGTTGCTTGAGGTTCAGGTGGCCTCAATAGCCTTCCATCAGCTTCAGCTGGTGGTCCAGTTGTGCCCTATTAGGACCGGGATAGCTTAACTTCTCTTGTCTATGCTCTGGTAACCCTTAGGCTGGATTACTGCAAAGTGTTATATGTAGGGCTGTCTCTGAAGACGGTTCGGAAGCTTCAGTGGCCTTGTTGCTCACCGGGGCAAGATGGTTTGAGCATATAACTGACTGCCAATCATATAACCAGCTGCCAATCAGTTTCTCAGCCCAATTCAAAGTGCTGGTTTTGACCTATAAAGACTCAAATGGCTCAGGCCTTTCGAACTGTGTGGCGTGTGTGTTGTTTGTTACTATGTTATGTATTTTTGTGTTTCTACATTTTAACACTCCTCCCCCCGGTGATCCTCGGATGAAGGGCGGAATAGAAATTTAATAAATAGTAACTGGTGCTGGCAATGATTCATATGTTGACCGATGGCTATTACTACATCTCTCATGTTTCATAATGGCGCAGATCTCCATGCTTGCTTTCGCTGTCTACACAATCATCATCTGTCGATTGATCTCAGGAGATGATAACCGAAAAAAATCTGCCCAAGATGAAACTATAGCTGTACGTACCTGCATTTCAGTATCTACTGCATCAAGAGTTGGTCTGAACACCTGTTTTCTGTCTTCGAGTCCTAAGAAACAAAGAGTATTATTATTATTATTATTATCATTATTTGTATACCACCCTTCTTCCAAGGATCACAGGGCTGTTTACAATACAGAAACACAAAAATGCATGTCATAGTAACAAACAAAAACAGAAACGCTCCTTCCACATAGTATTAGTACAGTGGTGCCCCGCAAGGCGAATGCCTCGCAAGACGAAAAACTCGCTAGACGAAAGGGTTTTGCGTTTTTTGAGTCGCTTCGCAAGACGAATTTCCCTATGGGCTTGCTTCGCAAGACGAAACGTCTTGCGAGTTCTTGCGAGTTTGTTTGCTTTTTCTTAAAGCCGCTAAGCCGTTAATAGCCGCTAAGCCGCTAAGCTGCTAATAGCCGCTAAGCTGCTAATAGCCGTGCTTCGCAAGACGAAAAAACCGCAAGACGAAGAGACTCGCGGAACGGATTAATTTCGTCTTGCGAGGCACCACTGTATTTCTTAATTTAAGAGCAGCAAGAGTATTGGAATGATTTATTGGCCGTAACCCAGAAAGCCCCTTTCCGCCTCTTACACAGCCTTTCCTGGGTGCACACAGTGAGGGTTCTCACTTCTTCCTCCCTAAGGGAATAGCTCAGTCGGTAGAGACGGAGACTCTTAATCACAGGGTTCGAGCCCCACATTGGGGGAAAGATTCCTGCATTGCAGGGGGTTGGACTAGATCATCCTCGTGGTCCCTTCGAACCCTACGATTCTAAATTTTGGGGCTGCATTGCACCAGAGTTTTGAGCCAAAGCTCTGAGAAGACAGTCCTGGCCGGTGGTGTTGCGTCCTTTGCTGGCACCCGGGGTGTGCGTGCCAGCTGGGAAAGCAGGCGAGGCGTGGAGGGTGAACAAAACCTGCCAGGCCAACCCAGCCATCACCGCCAATGCCGCTGGGCAGGCACAGGGCATGGAGAGTTCATGGGGTCATGTTGCGCTTCCTGCCCACCTGCCCAGGAGAGAGTCCGGCTGGCCGACGAGGCCCTTGGTGTTCGCATCCCCCTCCTTCCTGCCCTCATGCTATGCCTCTGGTCCTGGCCTGTGGCCAGCAAGATATCACGCTGCAAATACCGCCTTGCTGAGGGCATAATTGTTATAAGAATTTTAAGGTCTCAAATACAGAATCAATATTCGTAAATGCACACATATCTAAATATATGAACCATGTGTCTGAAATAGTATGGGAGAGCAATCTCTCATACTATTATAGTATGAGAGATAGTATGGGAAATAGTATGGGAGAGCAATGAGGAAAGCCTTCCCATTGTCTTTTTGCTTGCAAATCCTGTCTTAAGGGCGTATTTGTGTATGAATAGGGTGAGCCTAGGGCTTGCCGATCAGAAGGTCGGTGGTTCGAATCCCCGCGACGGGGTGAGCTCCTGTTGCTCAGTCCCAGCTCCTGCCAACTTAGCAGTTCGAAAGCATGTCAAAATCCAAGTAGATAAATAGGTTACCTTCCGGCGGGAAGGTAAACGGCGTTTCCGTGCGCTGCTCTGGTTCGCCAGAAGCAGTTTAGTCATGCTGGCCACATGACCCGGAAGCTGTACGCCGGCTCCCTCGGCCAATAAAACGAGATGAGCGCCGCAACCCCAGAGTCAGTCACAACTGGACCTAATAGTCAGGGGTCCCTTTATCTTTACCTTAGGGTGAGCCTGTGACCTGGATTCAAGAACTAAAGTATTAACCATCACCAAAGAATGCCCAGGCTGCCCAGGTAATGCAATCAGTAACCATTATCAGGTATCCTGGCAAACAGGATTTCTGCTGTAGACCCGCCTCCTTCTGTGAAGTGTGTGTGTGTGTGTGTGTGTGTGTGTGTGTATGGGGTGGTCTTGAGCTACAGGTTGGGCAGTTTCAAGAGACTATATAAGGGCTTGCTCAGCATTGTTCCGGATTCTCCTCTCTCCTGCGTGTGGCGAGTGGGGACCCTGTTGCAACAGTTCCTTGAATAAAGATCAGCCTTACTAGCTGCTTTGCTTCTCAATATACAGTGGTACCTCTGGTTGCAAACGGGATCCGTTCCGGAGGCCTGTTTGCAACCTGAAAAGAACGCAACCTGTGACTGCGCGTCTGTGCATGCTCGGGTCACAATTCGCCACGTCTGCACATGCGCGTGACGTCATTTTGTGCGTCTGCGCATGCGCGAGCAGCGAAACCCAGAAGTAACCCTTTCCGGTACTTCCGGGACGCAACCTGAAAACCCGCAACCTGAAGCAAACGTAACATGAGGTATGACTGTACTTTGGTGGGCCTCTGTTATTCTCTCCTACCAATAGGGAACCCACTTAAGGACTCTGTGGGGGCTCTGGAATACCCCATAAGGGAAAAGGAGCAGTTTTTCTTATAACATAATGAATCATTACCATCCTCGTAGGCTGCTTTATTCACGATGCTCAGGCCTTTGGAAGGCTTCCACTCTTCCTCTTCATCCTCCACATACCAGAGTTCCTCTCCGTCAAGGAAGCTGCAAGGACAATATGCACAGGTCACTCCTAGGATGACGCCTCCTGGAAAAGGTTGCACATTGTCTCTATCTCTCCCTCTCATAGGGGTGCCAGCTCAAGGGCTTCTGCTACCTGAGGCAGCAGCCTCACTCTACCTAACGGGTGGTCTGTCCTTGTCCCTCTGTCTTCCTCATCACCACACCCTCCATGTTCTGCCTTGTTAACGGAGAAATCTGAAGGCTCCCTCGGACAAAAAACAAGGACACCAGCCAGGAATACCAGAGCTAAACAGCAGCCAGTAGGCTTGGTCTTTATTGAAGACTGTCGCGACAGGACTCCCACCTGCCACAAGGTGGAACAAGATGAAAGCCCCAAATAAAATAGCCCCCAAACTTTTATTATAATCCCCATGTTACCCCCCCTCCAAACTACATCACTCATACATCACGGTTACATGAAAGGGGAGGTCTGGTGGCAGTAATCTGAGCATCCTGGACCCTGCCCTATGGTTCTCCTTGCCCTTCACCAAACACCCATCTAGTGTAACAAAAAAGATCTTTACATTTCCCTGTTTCCCAGCCAAGTTAATCGCACCCTTTTGTCTTCATCTGGGTTTGTTATTTCTGGAATAACAATACCTGTCTGGCTCTCAGGTATCAGGATGCCAGCGATTATCACTCAGGCAGAGGGGCTGCTGAGTAGCTGAGCTCACATGTCTATATGAAGTGAGCCAGTACATAGATACATTTATCAGTGAATTCTTACATTTGGTATCGTGCAGCAGAGGCCCTTTGAATAGATAGGAAGAAACTGTGATGAAGTGTTTTGTGGGGACAAATCACAAAAGTCACAAACGTGATTGTGCTGGTTTTGGTAGTGGGCTGCATGTGCATGATATCTGCTGGAGGGGCAACCGCCCCCCCCAGACATAAATTCCTGCAATAGCCTCAGAAGCCAAATTTTTCAATTCTTTCTATTTGCAGTCCCATTTACACAACCCAGAAATATAGCCCTGTTAATGTTCCTGTATGTCCCGCTCAGAGATCCGGGGACACCTGGGCCTTTTCTAACTCAAGAGAAAACTTCGTTCAGTTCACATACAGTGGTATCTTGGTTTTCTAGCGTCTTAGAAGCCCAAAACCTGGAAGTAAGGTAATTGCTTCCGTTTTCAAACGCGCCTCAGAAGTTGAACGGCTTCCCCTGTGTGGGTTTTTTACAATTTTCTCAATGGAAATTGCAGACGGTCCTTTGCACCTCGGTTTTCAAATGTTTCGGAAGCTGAACGGTCTTCCGGAATGGATTACGTTCGAAAACCGAGGTACCACTGTATTAATGTGAAGTCGCCTAACAATTCACACTGACGCAGGGCAATATGTGAACTAAAACACAGCAGTCCTTCAAAAAACCCCCACTGTTTTCTGAATTTTGCCATGCGGTTCTTGAACCGAAACAGGCACGTAAAAAAGTGTGTTGTGAAAAATTGTGCACGAAAATGCTTATATTCGTGAAAATACTGTATCCCCCCCCCCCCCAGTGAAAATACTGTATATTAAAAACCATTATATACGGGGAATTTGCTTGCAAAAATGGACATGGGGATATATATAATGCAAACTAATGAGGCAAGAACTGAAAAAGTTGGCAGGGTGGGGGATAAACTGAGAGAAACCGAGAATGATAGATTCATCCATCATTCTTTCTCTCTCTCAGTGAACCAAGTTCTCCATTGGAACTCTTGTGTTTCTTACCTCTCTTTAGATTTCTTCCTCATGGCTCTGAAGAGGAAGAAAGCCAGGACAGCACTGGTCACAAACAAGATGGCGAGCCCAATACCAAGGCCCACCTCACTCTTCTGGAAGCGTGTCTCGCAAAAATCTCCTGTGTACCAAAACTTGTCCATATCACTGCACCTGTGAGGGAAAAGATAGAGAGGTTGCTATACCCCAAACCTTAGCATGCAACCTGCTTGAGGCCACTGACATCTTCATCTGCAAGCGTTTGGTGTCCCTTCACGCTTCGTCTAGAAATGTCCCAATACACATGCATTCTCTTACCCACATTATATCAGCGATAATCATCCCGCGAGGGCGTTGCCCGCGGCAAGTGTCCCGGGGGGGCGGCGTGGTGATGTCACCCCTCCTCAGGGATGACACCCAGGGCGGACCACGCCCCACGCCCCCGCCCCCACCCCCCGCTTTCTCTGCCAGTTGGTGCGTGCAAATTTTGCTATGTTTACATTTTGTTAGGTAAAGGGACCCCGACCATTAGGTCCAGTTGTGACCGACTCTGGAGTTGTGGCGCTCATCTCGCTTTATTGGCCAAGGGAGCAGGTGTACAGCTTCTGGGTCATGTGGCCAGCATGACTAAGCCGCTTCTGGCGAAGCAGAGCAGCGCACGGAAACGCCGTTTACTTTCCCGCCAGAGCGGTACCTATTTATCTACTTGCACTTTGACATGCTTTCGAACTGGTAGGTTGGCAGGAGCAGGGACCGAGCAACGGGACCTCATCCCGTCACAGAGATTTGAACCACCGACCTTCTGATCGGCAAGTCCTAGGCTCTGTGGTTTAACCCACAGCGCCACCTGTGTCCCTACATTTAGTTAACAACGTGCTAACGAGAACTTTTGCAGGACATGTGGGGGGGAAATGGGGTGTGTGTGTGTGTGAGTGCAGACAGGTATAGGGGTCATTATTTCAAGCTTTAAGTAGTGGGTGGTCTGAAGAGCCTGGAGCTGGGGGGGTTTTCTGCTACGCCCCCGCCGCCTGTCCACTTACAAGCACTCGGGGCCTGTTTCACGAAGGCGACACTCTCCATAGTGGCAGTTCCAGGAAATCTTTGTGCCCTTGGTACAGTTGGTAATACAGCGCAATGTTCCCGTGGACATATCGGCATAATAGTAGGCTGCATATTGAGGCTTGACGATCTTTTTGCAATAATCTGGGAAAGAAAAAAAGGAAGAAATCTGGTCGTTTGGCGCAAGTCAAAGCAAAGGGGCATAACGAGTCAGTTTGCTGAAACTTAGGAAGTCTACTTTCAGTGCCTAAATGCGAGATTTCCTGGTGGAATCACCCAGACCAATCACTGGGAGCACTCATGGAAATCTTAAAAAGCAGAGAGATACATGGAGCATGGGTTTGTCAATGACATCCAGTCTCAGGGGTGGGATACCGTATTGGCCCGAATATAAGCCGCACCCAAATATAAGCCGCGCCTTTAAAATTGGAGGGGGGGGAGGGAAAAAAATTAAAATTAGCAAAGATCTACCACACAAATGATAATTTATGCTGGAAGTGTAAAGAAAAAGAAGGTACTTTTTATCATATGTGGTGGACGTGTCCTAAGGTGAAAGACTTCTGGGAAAAGATTTATAATGAGCTGAAAAAAATGTTGAAAAATACATTTATTAAAAAACCAGAAGCCTTTCTACTTGGAATAATAGGATTGGAACTGCCCCCAAAAAGATGTTAGTTTTCGTATGCCACTACAGCGGCAAGACTGCTACTAGCTAAAACCTGGAAATCTCAAGAACTACCAGCAGTAGAAGAATGGCAGATGAAGATGTTGGACTTTTAGGAGCTGGCCGACCTGACTGGAAGAATCCGCGATCAGAAAGAAGAGGAATATCAAGAAGATTGCAAGAAATTTAAAGACTATTTAGCTAAATATTGTAACGTAAGATAATTAGAAGTTACTTGAAAGTATCAAATAGGCTTAGGATTAGAGTAAGAATGAATTGTAAATGTGGAGAGTTATTTTTTTAAAAAACTGGGCAATGGCGCGCTACCTGCCTGTGACTCTGGAGCCTTCCCTGATCTCCTTCCCCCTTCCCCCTTTGTTTTGGCAGATCAGGGGAGGCTCAGGAGCCATGGGTGGGCAGCCGTTGCCCAGGAGGTGCCAGCCTGGTAGTGCAGTTGGCTCTGGCTGGCTTCAGGGAGCTGCTCGCTGCCGTGGCGCAAGAAAAATGGCGGGCACCACGGCAGCAAGCAGCTCCTGAAGCCAGCCGGAGCCAACTGCGCTAACAGGCTGGCTCCGGGCTGCTGAGGCTGCAGCTGCCACGTTTCCCAGGGACAGATTTGCAAATCTGGGGACATTCCGGGGACGGAATTTGTGCATGGCCTGTACCTCTCTGTCCAGGAAAGCAAATGGTATTATCACATCCTAGCCAGATGAAAGCACTGAAGGAACACTTGAATCTGGGTTTATGAGGGCTATTTCTTGAGGGGAGTGGCTGTGGCTTGGGCGAGAGTCCAGAAAGAGAGGCCTGAGGCATTTGACCCTCCAGCCCAAGGTTCCCCACTCCCTCAGCTATGGGGACAATACTGCGAATGCAACATAAGGGGACTTGAAGAGACTCTCCCTTCACCCTCCCATTCCCATATCTAGTACTCACCTTCTGCCGAAAAATTTCTAACCAGAGCGGGGGACTCTAAAACACGGAAACAGTAGTCTGGGACAAGAAGGAGAAGATTGTATTGTTCAGTTCCAGAATATTATTATTATTATTATTATTATTATTATTATTACCCTGCACACCCTAAACTATCTAATGTGTGTCACAAAGACAGGACTCATCCACACCTCTGCTTGTCGCTTGCCTAGAAAACAGTTTTCCATTTAATCAACACTTTCTAAATCAAATACATGGGTCTTAGCAGTTTTCCTATTGCTCCGGTCCTTTCCCAGGGAAAAGCCCGCCTGCTTTCTAGTGCTAAATCGGAGCAAACCTCAAACCAGCTCAACAAAACACACACATGGGTAAATCTCCCTAGCTTGGAGATTTACACAGCCTGCGTGTCTTTGCTAACACAAAGACTGCATTATATTTTTTGTAATGAGGCCAAGTTCTTTGCTTTTTTAAATCGTTTGGAACCTTTCTTATTCATTACTTTTACTGCCGATGGATGAGACTTGTTTACTGGAACTACTGGGACTCTGTAAGTAAAAACTTCACTGATCTCCTAGGTGTCTGTGATTTATTCTAGCCTAAGTACTTTCACTGGAAACGTTTGTTTAAAGGTAGATGAGGGCAGATGTAAAATCCAACCAAGTTTTCACATAGCAATCAACCATAGTGCTAACTCTGCTAAGAAAGGTCAAGAATCTCTTCCCAAACCTTCTCTCTCCAACAGTGAATAGTCCTTTCTTGATGTAACCAAGAGATACGTCACTGTGTATCAGTTCCCAGAGGCCAAAAATATATACATATCTGAATATTTGTTCATAAAGGGACCACAAGTCTCTGGTGTTATTTGATGCTAAGGAAACCAAACTTTATAGCTAAGTCCCTGGAACTTTGCTCAGAGGAGGGAAGCAATATTAAAACTGGAACTCTGTTCTTCAGAACTTACCTTTGTCCTGCTGGCTACAGTTCCTGGCGTTGACGTGTTCCAATTGCTTCACGAGCTCCTGCGTCCGGTTGACGATCTCTCTATCGATAGCACTGACGTTGTTCGGCATATTGATTTCCATGATGATCGTGAAGTTCACATCGATGCTGCCATTGCTAAAACAACAGTGGAGGGAGTACAACATCTCAGATGCTGAGCCACCATTTTGTGGTTTGATAATAAGAATAGGGAGGGGCTGCTTCTTTTTGTTCAAACAGACTGTGTATCCAGTGTAAATAAAATAGTACGGTGGTACCTCGGGTTACATACGCTTCAGGTTACAGACTCTGCTAACCCAGAAATAGTGCTTCAGGTTAAGAACTTTGCTTCAGGATGAGAACAGAAATCGTGTTCTGGCAGCGCGGCAGCAGCAGGAGGCCCCATTAGCTAAAGTGGTGCTTCAGGTTAAGAACAGTTTCAGGTTAAGAACGGACCTCCAGAACGAATTAAGTTCTTAACCCAAGGTACCACTGTACAATAATAGCTCAGTTGGCAGAGTAAAGGTAAAGGGACCCCTGACCATTAGGTCCAGTCGTGACGGACTCTGGGGTTGAGGCGCTCATCTGGCTTTATTGGCCGAGGGAGCCGGCGTACAGCTTCCGGGTCATGTGGTGACTCTGGTGAACCAGAGCAGCGCACAGAAACGCCGTTTACCTTCCCGCCGGAGTGGTACCTATTTATCTACTTGCACTTTTGATGTGCTTTCGAACTGCTAGGTTGGCAGGAGCAACGGGAGCTCACACCGTCACGGGGATTCGAACCGCCGACCTTCTGATCGGTAAGTCCTAGGCTCTGTGGTTTAACCCACAGCGCCACCTGCGTCTCAGTTGGCAGAGTATGAGACTCTTAATCTGAGGGTTGTGGTGAAGACTTCTGCGTTGCAGGGGGTTGGACCAGATGACTCGCAAGGTCCCTTCCAACTCTACAACTCTACGATTCTAGGATTATCAATACTATATAGATAAAATCGATAGATTTTTTTAAAAGTATGCATAACTGAATTATATGTCCAGATTGGCTCTTAACCTGAAACTGTTCTTAACCTGAAGCACCACTTTAGCTAATGGGGCCTCCCGCTGCCGCCACGCCGCTGCTGCGCGATTTCTGTTCTCATCCTGAAGCAAAGTTCTTAACCCGAGGTACTATTTCTGGGTTAGCAGAGTCTGTAACCTGAAGCGTATGTAACCTGAAGCGTATGTAACCTGAGGTACCACTGTATATCTCTCTCGCAAGCTGGTCTCTGCCTCAAGTACTCACTTCACGCTCAGTATCACCACATCACGGTATCCGTCCACATTCTTGTAGATTTGTCTCATCTATAATGTCGGGGGTGGGGTGGGGGAAACACAGAATATCTTCATTAAAAAAGGCATGAAACAGAAATATTTTCATAAACAAAGAGAAAGACCTTTTCAGGTGAGAATGGCAAGAGAAGATGCACGTGCGTGAGCCAACGACTCATGGTTACCTCCTTCTTAAAATCTGCCTCCAGTGTTTTAAACTCTTCTGAGTTTGTGTCATCGTATTCCTTTAGGTACCCCCTGTTGGTGATCTTCACCTTGGCAGCAAATTCCACAGGCACGTTTACTAAAGCAGAGAGAAAGAGAGAGACCCACTAGCAGCAGGGACCAGGAGCTTTCCAGCAAAGTAGCTGTCAAACCTTGAAAGCCAGTCCCTGTGCTGGTAGCAAGAGCAGCAGGTTCTTCACATCAGCCAACAGCTTTGATTTTTTTAAAAAATTATTATTTCTACTTAAACTGCTGAAGACAGGTCTGTGTAACTTGTGGGATGTAATCCTCTGGAGCAGTCAAGTACAACATTTCCTGTTTGCCTAGAGTGAACATGCATGGGGAATGTTGGACCAGCCAGTTGAACTTCCTGTTACACCTGGCTGGAGCATCCTTGCTTTTGCATGTGACTAGTTAGGTGAGCGTGACCTTTCCAGACCTGGTAAAAGGCCAAGTCACGTAGCCACCTCTCTTATTTTTCGTCCTGCTTCCTTCCTGCTTCACCTGGACTGTCAGCCAGCAGTCCCTAAGTTATCTCCCATATGGGGTAGACCTGTTTGTACATATTTGTAACTTTAAGCCTAAAGCCTGCCTTCAGGGATCACACTGTGATCATGAGTAAAACTACTTTTTGTTACTTATGAATAAGACTATTGTGTCTTTATTCTTTTAAGAGGGATCAAAGGAGTCTTACCAGGAATAATAGAACGTATTTCAATCTGGGCAAGCCAGATTGAATTGCTTATTATCTTAAGAGACTCACACGAATCTGCAACCAGCTTCTTGCTGCGCAAAAGGGAAACACACTCTGCTGTATAAAGAAACTTGCTAGCGCAAGTCAGGAAGGATAATATGAATCAATATATCCTCTCCTGTTACCCACAACGTTCCCACATAACCTGCAATCTCGCTTCCAGTTTATTGGTCAAAGCTGGGCATGTCTTCACTCGTTCGATCCAGCAGCTTCTGAGCAGCTTCCAAAGCCTGACCTTTAACATTGTGCAAATTGGTCCTCCTAAAGTGAAGAAGCTTTTGCCAGCATCTTAGAGTCCCATCTTGGGGGCCTCTAGCCATGTGATTAAAAACATGTCTACTCTAGAATTGGTCAGCTCGGGTCCATGGGAAAGGAGGAGCACCTGATCCATACCCTCCAAATGTCCCCATTTTCCAGGAATGGTCCCGGAGTTACGAAAACCGTATCAGCTTCTGATTTGATCCCAGAATGTCCCTATTTCCCCTGCTGAGCTTGGGGAGGAAGATGAGCTGGCGCTTGTCCCAAGTGGCAGCGGCAAGGGGGCATCTCCTTGCTGCTCCATCCAAGGTCCAGCCCCGTGTGATGCACCAGCTCTGAGGCATAGGCATTAGGGATTAAGGGTGTTTTCAGGATGGAGGAGGGCATATGTGCTGTTTCCCATTGCTGTCGTGGTCTAAACCACTGAGCCTCTTGCGCTTGCTGATCAGAAGGTCAGCGGTTCAAATCCCCACGATGGGGTGAGCTCCCATTGCTCTGTCCCAGCTCCTGCCAACCTAGCAGTTCGAAAGCACGCCAGTGCAAGTAGATAAATAGATACCGCTCTGGCGGGAAGGTAAACGGCATTTCTGTGCGCTGTGGTTTCCGTCACGGTGTCCCGTTGTGCCGGAAGTGGTTCAGTCATGCTGGCCACATGAGCCAGAAAGCTGTCTGTGGACAAACGCCGGCTCCCTCGACCTGAAAGCAAGATGAGTGCCACAACCCCACAGCTGCCTTTGACTGGACTTAACCATCCAGGGGTTCTTTACCTTTAGCTATGTGGTTGTGGCACTCGCCCTTCTTCTGATAGAATATGCTCTGGGGAGGGGGCAAAAAAATATGGGGGGCCGAGGAGGGTTAGTTGGCAGGGAGTGAAAAATGTCCCTGTTTTCATCTGAGGGGTGTTGGAGGGTTTGCTGATGCCCTGGTTTTTCTCAATACAAAAGCCACTGCAGAGGGCAGGAGTTTCTACTAGACTGGAAGAATAGGGTCAGGCAGCTCTCGCTTCTACTTACATGTAGCCGAATCGATCTCATCCGCAGCAAATTCACACCGCGGCCCATAGAATAAATTGTCAAGGCACAGACACTTAACACCATCGTATGTTCCTCCGTTTTCACATTCATTCGCTGGAAGAGAGAAGCAGCAATCTCTGTAAAGAAGAAATGTTGGGAAGTAAACCCCACCCACCGCAACAGAATCCCTTAAAATGACAGGGGGAACTGCCCCTCACAGCTTAAATCAGTATACCCCAACCTGGCGCCCTCCATATGTGGTGGACTCCAACTCCCATCAACCCTAGCCAGCTTTACCAAGCCCAATGGGCAGGGATGATAGGAGCTGCAGTGCAAAACATCAGGAGGGGCACCGTGTCACGGAAAGCAAGCTTAAAGGATGGGGGAGTAGAATGTGTGGGGGATTGCAGTCAAACTACGCAGGAGGGCTAGTTAGTGCATGAAGGGGTTAAGACCAGAGAGGTCTGCTCCTAGACTCATCTAGGTCACACCCCTTTACCTCCTTGAGGGAGGAAGCGAAGTTGCTTCTCTTCCTTTCTCTCACTGTGTTCCAGCCATGTAACCAATCAGAACAGGGGTGTCTGAATTTGCTCAGACCACATGTTTGAAACAAGAGTGTGTGTTTTGCACCTATGCAGGCATGAATCAAGCCATTTTGATTTTGTAAGTAAAGCATTTTAAACGTACTTAACAGTGTGTGGTCTGTTCATTGCCAGAAGGGGAGATGGGGGTGGGGTGGGGGCGCAAACACTGTAAGCAAACTAAACAGGATATCAAAAAGGATCTAACAACCTACAACCCCACACCATACTGCTATTGAAATAAATAAATATTTTTTTTAAAAAAATGTGCAGTAGCACCTTAGAGACAAACTAAGTTTGTTCTGGGTATAAGGTTTAATGTGCATGCACACATCTTCAGATACACTGAAACAGAAGTCACCAGACCCTTATATATAGTGGGAGGGTGGGGTGGGTTTTTTTCTCAGGAGGGTAGTAGGAGATGGGTGATTGACTCAATGGATATGGTAAACCTGTTGACGACTGTTAACGACTGCAATTAGTTCTACAGGAAGAAGCAAGGGATAGTATGCAGGTGACCAAAAATCGCTTCAGCATATGTAATGAGACAAGAATCCAATATCTCTATTCAGACCAGGTCTCTCCATAGTTTTCAGTTTTGTAATAAGTTGTACTTCAGCAACTTCTCTTTCAAGTTTGTTTCCATACTGCTGTTTAACTTTGCCTCTTTTAAACCCTCCTGGGGGCTCTCTCCCACTGGAGAGTGTGCAAATCCCCACGTTTTTGAATCCAGGCATTCAGCTGGAAGCAGGGTATAAATAATAAATTATTATTATTATTATTATTATTATTATTATTATTAGTCTGGCAATCTTTTATTCTGCAACTGGTACTAAGAGGCAAGTTGCATCCAATTGTTGAGCTTGCATGACTAGTTGCCACTGATAGTCTTTTCTCCTCCATGGATTTTCCCAACCCCCTTTCAAGGATGTCTGAGTTGAGTGTGCTTATTGCCTGAGCATGACACAAGTCCCACATTGGCTTTGGGGTAGAGCTAGGGGCAAAGCTCATGGGCACATAAACTTTGATCTCCAAAGCCAGCAGATGGACGGAAGAGTCCCACCTATGGTATCTCCACTCAAGCCCCTGGGATAACAGAGGCGGAGATTAAGGCCAGACTTGGCTCCACCGAGACAGGAAATCGTATTGAAGATTGGCGACGGGGGATACAAGGAAGAAGAAGAAAAGTACCGTATTTTTCGCCCTATAGGACGCACCGGCCCATAGGACGCACCTAGATTTTGGGGCGGGGGTAAATAAAGGGGGGGGAATTTATTTCTCCCCCCAGGCATGGGGCTGGGGCGGGGGAAGCCCGAGCTTCCCCCTCTCCCAGCCCCCAGAACGGGACCCAGAGCAATGCCGAAGCTGCGTGCAGCTTTGGCATTGCTCTGGGAGCTTGCGGGGCTGGAGGAGGGGGAAGCCCTCCGCCAGCCTTCTAACCACGTCGGGGGACAGCAGGAAAGGCGCGCTGCGCCTCCCCGCTGTCCCCCGAGCTTGTGGGGCTGGCAGTGGGGCTCTCCTGAAGCCTGGAGAGCGAGAGAGGTCGGTGCGCACCGACCCCTCTCACTCTCCAGGCTTCAGCGAAAGCCTGCATTCGCCCCATAGGACGCACACACATTTCCCCTTCATTTTTGGAGGGGGAAAAGTGCGTCCTATAGGGCGAAAAATACGGTATTCTGTGGAGGAAGGTGGGGGAAAGGCATGTCTACATGAGGCTGCCCCATTATGAAAGAAATCCCAATTGGATCTGCACAGAGGGAGATACGGAGGAGGTGCATGTGTCCCTGAAGAAAGGAAGAAAATTCAGGACACACTCATTCTTTGGGTAGAAACCGTATTAAAGGAAGACGCCTGAATGCCTCTAGGGGTCTGATAAGTGGAATCCAAAGAGGGACCCTCATGATTGGGTCCATGCAACCCAATTCAGAAGCTATCTTGATGTTCCAGTTTTGGAGACGGAGCAAAAACAACCCTCTTATAAAAATACAGTATTCACAAAGAAGAAGTGATTCTTACCTTGAGGAGTAGATGTGTGGCTGCTCTGGGTATCTGGGATCGTGGGTGTTGCAGGAGGAGATGTGGTAGAAATAATAGTACTAACTTCTGATGTTGTCTTGTCACTAACTACTGTTGAATTACTGGTGACAATTGTTGTTGGGGTGGTAATATATGTTGAGGACTCTGGGGTGACGTTCTCTGTTGCGCTGCTGGTGACTGGTGAGGACAAAGTTGTGTCCTCTGGTGCCACGCTTGTAATAGCTGAGGAAAAAGTTGTGTCATCTGGTGCCACGCTTGTGAAAGGTGAGATGGTGCTGGCATCAGTGGACTCTGGAGTGACGTTCTCTGTTACGCTGCTGGTGACTGGTGAGGAGAAAGTTGTGTCCTCTGGTGCCACGCTTGTGAAAGTTGAGATGGTGCTGGCATCAGTGGACTCTGGAGTGACGTTCTCAGTTGTGCTGCTGGTGACTGGTGAGGAAAACGTTGTGTCCTCTGGTGCCATGCTTGTGAAAGCTGAGATGGTGCTGGCATCCGTGGACTCTGGGGTGATGTTCTCAGTTGCGCTGCTGGTGACTGGTGAGGAAAAAGTTGTGTCCTCTGGTGCCACGCTTGTGAAAGCTGAGATGGTGCTGGCATCCGTGGACTCTGGAGTGACGTTCTCTGTTGTGCTGCTGGTGACTGGTGAGGAAAAAGTTGTGTCCTCTGGTGCCACGCTTGTGAAAGCTGAGATGGTGCTGGCATCAGTGGACTCTGGGGTGATGTTCTCAGTTGCGCTGCTGGTGACTGGTGAGGAAAACGTTGTGTCCTCTGGTGCCATGCTTGTGAAAGCTGAGATGGTGCTGGCATCCGTGGACTCTGGGGTGATGTTCTCAGTTGTGCTGCTGTGTGACAGATGAGGAGAAAGTTGTGTCCTCTGGTGCCACACTTGTGAAAGCTGAGATGGTGCTGGCATCCGTGGACTCTGGGGTGACGTTCTCTGTTACGCTGCTGGTGACTGGTGAGGAGAAAGTTGTGTCCTCTGGTGCCACGCTTGTGAAAGCTGAGATGGTGCTGGCATCCGTGGACTCTGGGGTGACGTTCTCTGTTACGCTGCTGGTGACTGGTGAGGAGAAAGTTGTGTCCTCTGGTGCAATGCTTGTGAAAGTTGAGATGGTGCTGGCATCAGTGGACTCTGGGGTGATGAACTCAGTTGCGCTGCTGGTGACTGGTGAGGAAAAAGTTGTGTCCTCTGGTGCCACGCTTGTGAAAGCTGAGATGGTGCTGGCATCCGTGGACTCTGGGGTGACGTTCTCAGTTGCGCTGCTGGTGACTGGGGAGGAAAAAGTTGTGTCCTCTGGTGCCATGCTTGTGAAAGCTGAGATGGTGCTGGCATCAGTGGACTCTGGGGTGACGTTCTCAGTTGCGCTGCTGGTGACTGGTGAGGAAAAAGTTGTGTCCTCTGGTGCCATGCTTGTGGAGGTTGAGATGGTGCTGGCATCAGTGGACTCTGGGGTGATGTTCTCAGTTGCGCTGCTGGTGACTGGTGAGGAAAAAGTTGTGTCCTCTGGTGCCACGCTTGTGAAAGTTGAGATGGTGCTGGCATCCGTGGACTCTGGGGTGATGTTCTCAGTTGCGCTGCTGGTGACTGGTGAGGAAAACGTTGTGTCCTCTGGTGCCATGCTTGTGAAAGCTGAGATGGTGCTGGCATCCGTGGACTCTGGGGTGAAGAAATCAGTTGAGCTGCTGGTGACTGGTGAGGAGAAAGTTGTGTCCTCTGGTGCCACGCTTGTGACAGCTGAGATGGTGCTGGCATCAGTGGACTCTGGGGTGACGGTCTCAGTTGCGCCGCTGGTGACTGGGGAGGAAAAAGTTGTGTCCTCTGGTGCCACGCTTGTGAAAGTTGAGATGGTGCTGGCATCAGTGGACTCTGGGGTGATGTTCTCAGTTGCGCTGCTGGTGACTGGTGAGGAAAAAGTTGTGTCCTCTGGTGCCATGCTTGTGAAAGCTGAGATGGTGCTGGCATCAGTGGACTCTGGGGTGATGAATTCAGTTGTGCTTTGTGTGTCAGATGAGGAGAAAGTTGTGTCCTCTGGTGCCACGCTTGTGAAAGCTGAGATGGTGCTGGCATCCGTGGACTCTGGGGTGACGTTCTCAGTTGCGCTGCTGGTGACTGGTGAGGAAAAAGTTGTGTCCTCTGGTGCCACGCTTGTGAAAGCTGAGATGGTGCTGGCATCAGTGGACTCTGGGGTGATGTTCTCAGTTGCGCTGCTGGTGACTGGTGAGGAAAAAGTTGTGTCCTCTGGTGCCATGCTTGTGAAAGCTGAGATGGTGCTGGCATCAGTGGACTCTGGGGTGATGAATTCAGTTGTGCTTTGTGTGTCAGATGAGGAGAAAGTTGTGTCCTCTGGTGCCACACTTGTGAAAGCTGAGATGGTGCTGGCATCCGTGGACTCTGGGGTGACGTTCTCTGTTACGCTGCTGGTGACTGGTGAGGAGAAAGTTGTGTCCTCTGGTGCCACGCTTGTGAAAGCTGAGATGGTGCTGGCATCAGTGGACTCTGAGGTGATGAATTCAGTTGTGCTTTGTGTGTCAGGTGAGGAGAAAGTTGTGTCCTCTGGTGCCACACTTGTAAAGGTTGAGATGGTGCTGGCATCAGTGGACTCTGGGGTGACGTTCTCAGTTGCACTACTGGTGACTGGTGAGGAAAACGTTGTGTCCTCTGGTGCAATGCTTGTGAAAGTTGAGATGGTGCTGGCATCAGTGGACTCTGGAGTGACGTTCTCAGTTGTGCTGCTGGTGACTGGTGAGGAAAAAGTTGTATCCTCTGGTGCCACGCTTGTGAAAGCTGAGATGGTGCTGGCATCCGTGGACTCTGGGGTGACGTTCTCAGTTGCGCTGCTGGTGACTGGTGAGGAAAAAGTTGTATCCTCTGGTCCCAGGCTTGTGAAAGCTGAGATGGTGCTGGCATCAGTGGACTCTGAGGTGATGAATTCAGTTGTGCTTTGTGTGTCAGGTGAGGAGAAAGTTGTGTCCTCTGGTGCCACACTTGTGAAAGCTGAGATGGTGCTGGCATCCGTGGACTCTGGGGTGACGTTCTCTGTTACGCTACTGGTGACTGGTGAGGAGAAAGTTGTATCCTCTGGTGCCACGCTTGTGAAAGCTGAGATGGTGCTGGCATCCGTGGACTCTGGGGTGACGGTCTCAGTTGCGCTGCTGGTGACTGGTGAGGAAAAAGTTGTATCCTCTGGTGCCATGCTTGTGAAAGCTGAGATGGTGCTGGCATCAGTGGACTCTGAGGTGATGAATTCAGTTGTGCTTTGTGTGTCAGGTGAGGAGAAAGTTGTGTCCTCTGGTGCCACACTTGTGAAAGCTGAGATGGTGCTGGCATCCGTGGACTCTGGGGTGACGTTCTCAGTTGCGCTGCTGGTGACTGGTGAGGAAAAAGTTGTGTCCTCTGGTGCCACGCTTGTGAAAGCTGAGATGGTGCTGGCATCCGTGGACTCTGGGGTGACGTTCTCAGTTGTGCTTTGTGTGTCAGGTGAGGAGAAAGTTGTGTCCTCTGGTGCCACGCTTGTGAAAGCTGAGATGGTGCTGGCATCAGTGGACTCTGGGGTGATGTTCTCAGTTGCGCTGCTGGTGACTGGTGAGGAGAAAGTTGTGTCCTCTGGTGCAATGCTTGTGAAAGTTGAGATGGTGCTGGCATCAGTGGACTCTGAGGTGATGAATTCAGTTGTGCTTTGTGTGTCAGGTGAGGAGAAAGTTGTGTCCTCTGGTGCCACGCTTGTGAAAGCTGAGATGGTGCTGGCATCAGTGGACCCTGAGGTGACGTTCTCAGTTGCGCTGCTGGTGACTGGTGAGGAGAAAGTTGTGTCTTCTGGTGGTGTGCTTGTAAACCCTGGGACATTGCTGGCATCAGTGGACTCTGAGATGGTGTACTCAGTTGCACTGCTGGTTTCGGGTGAGAGGGAAATTGTTTTTTCTGGTATGGAAGTTGAAAAAACAGATTCAATCCTTTCTTCTGTGCTTGTGTTCATTGTGTCTGTGCTGGGATTCTGTCTTTGTGTGTCACTGATGGCAGGAGACACGTCCATCTTGAGATCTCTTGTATGTCTGGAATCAAGTGCTGCTTTCTGAACGTTTCTATCTTCCTCTTTTCCCATCAACCGCGTTTCCCATTTTTCAAGATCCTGCGTCTGAATTTTGTCTCTGACTTCATCTCTGAATCGACCTGTCAAAACAGCAAAGTCAATACTAGCAATGTCACTTTTGCTCCTTACCTTTAATGAGCTAGTCTGGATTTCTGAAATTCAATGGTTCTTTTTGAGGCCTGAAATCTGTTTCTATTTCTGAAGTATTTGAGGGAGCAGGTTTATATGTTGTAAATGGAATAACAGGTCCCTTTAATCCCAAGGACACTGACAAACTGGAACGTGTCCAGAGGAGGGCAACCAAAATGGTCAAAGGCCTGGAAACGATGCCTTATGAGGAACAGCTAAGGGAGCTGGGCATGTTTAGCCTGGAGAAGAGGAGGTTAAGGGGTGATATGATAGCCATGTTCAAATATATAAAAGGATGTCACATAGAGGAGGGAGAAAGGTTGTTTTCTGCTGCTCCAGAGAAGCGGACATGGAGCAATGGATCCAAACTACAAGAAGGAAGATTCCACCTAAACATTAGGAAGAACTTCCTGACAGTAAGAGCTGTTCGACAGTGGAATTTGCTGCCAAGGAGTGTGGTGGAGTCTTCTTCTTTGGAGGTCTTTAAGCAGAGGCTTGACAACCATATGTCAGGAGTGCTCTGATGGTGTTTCCTGCTTGGCAGGGGGTTGGACTCGATGGCCCTTGTGGTCTCTTCCAACTCTATGATTCTATGATTCTATGATTCAATACATTTTGAACTATGAGTATTCAACAGTGAAACTAGAGAATTCTAGAAGAATGACAAAAGACCAACAGGGACCCAACAGATTGTATAGAAAATCTGTGATATTCCCTGAAGGGTGTGAACGTTGTTCGTTTTCTAGACGATGTGAAGTCCAGTGAGACCATCGTATGAGACTGACCATCAGAGAATCCCCTCTGACCTCTCCAATCCATACAACTAAAATACTCAGATTGGAGATCCACAACCTTTGTGGGGCCCACTGCAGATTTGGAGATTTTAAAAAGTGCCCTGGGTACCACAAAATATCCACTACATAGAAGCAAAACAGGTGGTAGTCTGTTGTTAGCCGTCCTGAGCCCAGCTTTGGCTGGGGAGGGTGGGATATAAATAATTTTTTATTATTATTATTAGTCAGAAACTGCCTCCTCTTCACCGTGTTGCAAAACACCTTTGCCCGCAAAGCAATTTAAACATGGACAAAAAAACCAGGAAAAACTCTCCTCTCTCCTCTGCCAACCAACTAGTCTTCTCCCCCTCACAAAAAAGAGGGGTAGACCTTAATTTGTAAAATAAATTGAGAGGGGCAGGAGACCTAGAGAAATTTTATGTTATGAACCGCCCTGAGATCTATGGGTATAGGGTGGTATACAAATTTATTTATTTAAAAAATGTCGGCTCCTCAAGATTCACCTTCTGTATCACCCAAAGAGGAAGGAAGGGTCACAAAGGGCTCCCTCCTTCTGAGAACCATTTTCAAAACACTGTTGACTTCAGTCAACTATTATCCAACTCTATCCTCTTTAGTCTGAAAACCAATGGGGCTGCTCAGTCTTAAAATCCACCTTTTTGTTTTGTTTTGTTTTGACTATTTAAAATATTTGCACTCTGCCTTCCAATAAAACATTTTCATGGTGGCTTACAACATATATTTTAAAACAGCTAACACTGCAGCAACAATAACAGTGAATCAGGGAAAAAATGGGAGCATTTGCCAGCAACAGGAAAAACAGCTCAAGAATAACCCAGAAGTGATTTCAGAAACTGCAGGAAGTCCATGGGAGACCAAACTGTTTTTGACTAGGGTCTAAAGACCATCAGGCTTCTGCCAACCTAGCAGTTTGGAAGCATGTCAAAGTGCAAGTAGATAAATAGGTACCGCTCCGGCGGGAAGGTAAACGGCGTTTCCATGCGCTGCTCTGGTTCGCCAGAAGTGGCTTAGTCATGCTGGCCACATGACCTGGAAGCTGTACGCCGGCTCCCTTGGCCAATAAAGCGAGATGAGCGCCGCAACCCCAGAGTCATCCATGACTGGACCTAACGGTCAGGGGTCCCTTTACCTTTAAAGACCATCAGGCAACAGGCAAGATGATAGGAGGAGCGATTTCCATGGATGAGGTACCACTAGCAAAAAAGGCTCCAAGAACCAGCCATCCTGCCTCAGGAATAACATCTCCCCCCCCCCCCCCGATTTTTGGCAGATTGTTGACTCAGTGGTGAAATAAAGACGATCTGCACACATGGCCCAAGGCACATATTTCTTTCTGATTGCCTCCAGACCCTCCAAATATCCCTATTTTCCTGGGACAGTCCCAGATTTACAGAAGCCGTCCTGGTTTCTGATTTGATCCCAGAATGTCCCACTTTTCCATAGGATGTCCCTGTTTTCGTCAGAGAAATGTTGGAGGTTATGGAGTCATGCAACCCCCCAAGCCAAGGAGATAAGTAACTAACCAACCTTTAGAAGACATCTGAAGACAGCCCTATAATGTTTTATTATGTTTTTATATATGTTGTAAGCCACCCAGAATGGCTGGAGCAACCCAGTCAGATGGGTGGGGTATGTATAAACAAACAAACAAACAAACAAGCAAACAATTAAAGGAATAGGACATCCCTAATAGGAGGCGGGTGGTGCTGTGGTCTGAACCACAGAGCCTAGGGCTTGCCGATCAGAAGGTCAACGGTTCGAATCCCCGCGACGGGGTGAACTCCCATTGCTCGGTCCCTGCTCCTGCCAACCTAGCAGTTCGAAAGCACGTCAAAGTGCAAGTAGATAACTAGGTACCACTCCGGCGGGAAGGTAAATGGCATTTCCGTGCTGCTCTGATTCACCAGAAGCGGCTTAGTAATGCTGGCCACATGACCCAGAAAAACTGTTTGCAGATAAAAGTCAGCTCCCTCGGCCAGTAAAGCAAGATGAGCGCCGCAACCCCAGAGTCATCCACGACTGGACTTAACGGTCAGGGGTCCCTTTACCTTTACCTTTAATTTCATCACAGAAATGTTGGAGGGTATGTGTCTCACTTATTCTGGGACAGGCTAAAATGGGCAGAGCCCAAACATTCTGACAGGGCTGGAGTTGAAGATGATAGTCTGGCTTTCTGAACAACTATGGGCTCATGCAAACTTCCTTTTGCACTGCACTTTTCGCACTTTAAAGCTCTGTGTTTGAACCATAGCTGTCAACTTTTCCCTTTTCTTGCGAGGAATCCTATTCGGAATAAGGGAATTTCCCTTAAAAAAAGGGAAATGTTGACAGCTATGGTTTGAACATTTGGGGGTTTTTTGTCCTGGCGCTTTCCCCTAGCAAACTGATGTTTTTTACCACTGAATCAGAGCAGACAACAATCCACAGAAAGCCCAATTGCTGTTTGCTCTGATCCAGCAGTAAATTGTGGGTTTTCCCAGAGAAAGCACCAGGACCTCCCCCCCCAAAAGAAAAAAACACACACACTGCTCAGACATGGAGCTTTAAAGCCCAGACCAGTGCCTGGATGAGGCCTCAGTGGACATCCATCTTGGAAGCCTCCTGCGCCATCCCAGCAATCACTTTTCTGAAAGAGAGACAGGAGCAGGCATATCTGCCACTCCGGCCCCTGCCATCTGTTTGAAGGCTTCCTGGGGGCCTTAGCATCACTCACCTGCTTCAGAGCTGAAAGTGGAGCGGTGGAAGATGAAGAAGAGGAGAAGGGGCAGAACTTTCCCCATTGGTGAGCTTCAAAAGTCTCTGTGATAATTCAGAAGTCTGGTTCAGATTCAACCACTAGCAAGGGCTGCGGTCTGGATTCTGAAGGGGAGGCAGAGTGGTGTGAGGACCTTGGACTTCCTGGAGGGTGATATTAGCTGGCAATTTAGCTCAGGTGCGAGTCACGTGTGGGTGAGGTGGGAAATGAAAACTTTGCTTGCCAATGCGGAAGAGAAAAAAACAAGTGGGATACCTTTGGCCACTTCTCTGTTCTCAGCTGGACTCCTGAGTGAAGGAAACACCCTATGTCTGAAGGAAACACCCTATGTCTGTGAGCCATGAATCCCAAAAGTCAGCCAACGCATTAGCAAGGGTGAAGAACCCCAGGCCCTCAGGGGTATTTGGATCCACTAGGACTCCCCAGTTGGTCCGTGAAACTGTCCCTCTCACCTTCCTACAGCCGACACCATATATGATCAGCTGCACCTACAAATCCCTGTGTCCAACAGCAACGATCAACTGACTGTCAGGGCCTTTAAGGAACCGTGTGAAGGAAGGAGAGCCCTAACTTTTCCACAGAACTCAGTCATTTAGGTGAGTGCATCATCCTGTCAATCCATACTGTCCCACTGCCATAAACAAGGTGAAACTTTTTTTCAGGTAAGCCCAGGTATAATAATACAGTGGTACCTTGGGATGCAAACGGGATCCGTTCCGGAGTCCTGTTCGCATCCAGAAGCAAACGTAACTAGCAACGGCACGTCTGCGCACACACGCGTCACTTTTCGCAGCTTCTGTGCATGCGCGTGACGTCATTTTGAGCGTCTGCGCATGCGCGAACGGCGAAACCAGGAAGTAACGTGCTCCGTTACTTCCGGGTTGCCACGGAGCGCAACTCAAATGTGCTCAACATGAAGCATATTCAACCTGAGGTATGACTGTAATAATAATAATAATTATTATAATAATACAGTGGTACCTCGGGTTACAGACGCTTCAAGTTACAGATGCTTCAGGTTACAGACTCTGCTAACCCAGAAATAGTACCTCAGGTTAAGAACTTTGCTTCAGGATGAGAACATAAATTGTGCTCCGGCGGCGTGGTGGCAGCAGCGGGAGGCCCCATTAGCTAAAGTGGTACAACATCTCCAGTCAGATATCAAAGGGAAGTTTCTTGCCAATGCAGTTGGGACTTTGGCATGATTTCTCATTGAGCAAAGAGCACCTAATTGCCTCATTTGCATTAAAAATAATAATTCCAGTAAGAACTCATAATCTATAAGTA